TATGTATGGATATCGATAGCACTTCAATGCTCAGTCTGGTTCCGTTATTACTGGATGATCGCCCTGATTTCCGTCCAGGATAAGCATGCAGGGGAACGAGCCTATCGTGGTCTCGGCTCTAGGTAAACCTTGACATTTAGAAGGCTTCTTACTCGACAAATTCAGCTACACATGCAGAATGTCCATGATGCCATTATTGTTCCCGGCAAGACCTGCCTTTCAGACTCGGACTAGAACTGCATGTATGGCTACCAGCGTTGCTATATCTCCATTCTTTTAACCCCGGATGTGGCTGTATATTGGCGAGCTGTGGAACTTCTCCTCGTACTCCGTACAGAGGACAGACGAAGTAACCACGGAGGAGGCATTTTAAATCTTATTTCATGGTTGAGATCGCTTCAACGGAATATAGATACGGAGGACCAAACCCAAAGAGCAAACCATGGATTAGCCGCGAATATCTTCCTCTCCGTCCTGTATTATGATATCTCCTGAAATTGAGGCCGTGGAAAATCATGGCTTCATGCTTGCAGACTACCAATAAAATCAATTACGGACTCCAAAGAATGTTGCTACTCGGTGACCTACGCTGTGTAAAAATGGCGTCATTCAATATTATCGGCGAAATAAAAACTGCCATATTCCAGGGGTTTTGCGTAGGAACATTTCACCCATGCCAGGAACAAAAAGCAAAGAGGTCGGTGAATTCTCGCGCCCGCGGAAAGTATCACTCTGTTTATTCTTTGCAGGGCTCTGGTGCCATGCTATGTCGATTTGAACCCGCGGCAGGGCCCTTGGATCGTGAGAATTAAGTACAAGAGAGCGCTGACCCCATAAAAATTTCTAAATGGAGAGCTTTTCCCTCGGCTTCGGCTGCATGAATCATGTTTCAGCACTCGGGCTCTGTCATGTTTCAGGGCAAACTCCTCCTCGTTTACTCCGTGCTCCGTACATAAACTTGAATTTTGACTTTCAAATCGACAGGTTTTCAAGGCAGACAACCAAACGGTATATTCTCATCGCCAGCCCAGGCACACCCCAACCTTAGCCTAGGGCTTGAAAGATCGAACGGCCTTTTATATGGCCTGGTCGTGGGTCTTTCTCCTTGATGTCTTTGAGCTCAGCCGTCGGCCACTTGCTTAGCCGGCTCTAGCGCAGGAACGAGACGGAGTTCCCTGTGGCTTGTGAGTGTCTCGCCGTTGGAACTCACCAACGCCCGCTTCTTTTCTTTTCCTGGTCAAATTTTCGTCACTCCACCTGGACTTCAATGCATGATGCACGGGTGGTTCGCCAGTCCCAGGTTAGCCCCAACTTCCCCCTCATGGCCACTATCGGGACAAAAAATCATAATATCGCCGACCCACGCTCCAAGAAACATAACTTTACAATAATGCATTTGTTATCATGCAGCTCAGCACAGGGTTAATATGTGTCACCAAAGGCATTTGGTTAGCTGGTGCTGTTTGTTCTGCGGAACTCGACAATATTAATGATACGGAGCTCAGTCTCGTTTTTCTTTTCACGGGCTCGCAGTTTATGCAGGACATCCACCTCGCGCCTTGTCTGACAACTCACCCCACTCACTGGGAGCGTTTAGCTTTCCAGAACCCTTCTCTCTCTTGGCACAGCAAGAAATTCCTTGGGAGCTTTCGTATTATTTTTGGGCGTACCAAGTATCCCAGAACTATCCGACTGGTTACTTTTGATCGAGCCGTGTCGCAGAGAAAGGCTCAAGGAACCCCTTGCCAATCAATCGCTGGAACTAAAATCCACCAATGAAACAGCGCAAGTGCGCGGGCGGCTATCCTGACCAAAGCTTCCCCTGGCAGATGCAAGGATTGAGCTGGGGACACCCCCTTAAATCAGCGAGATTATGTCTCGAGAAATACGGAGACTTCATCTTTGGGTACTGTTCCCGGGCAAAAAATCGGACCTCAGGAGACAGAGTTTCGTTTCAGGCTACAGTGCCGCTTTGGTGGTACATGCATATTCCTCCAGCTAGCGATGCCGTTGATGCAATCGATACCTCAACAGGATAGAACCAACGCAGAAGTGGCATCCTTCGTTTGGGGAACTGCTGTGTCGAATTTATTGTGACTCGCTTTTCAGCATAATGTTTGCCTCCTGCAGTTTTAACAAATACTAAGCCGAGGGATACCAGCAACAATGCATCTGGCGATGATGGTCGATAGTGATTTTATTAACCCCTGAGTGTAGACCTGGATGTGCTGATGTAGCCAATCGTCAGAGGAATCATGACGTCTCCGCCGACTTGCTATCCATCGATATATCTGGGACCAATATAGAAGGTTTTGCTATGCAATATTGCTTCGGTATACTAAGGTCAGACCCAGGAGCTCCATCTTATATCAGCACCATCCCTCAGTATGCTTGAACCTTGGCAGCGGTTATCACCCTGTCCTCCTAAACTATCTCTCCACCCTGACTTTACTGGCATTCCGCTCTTGGTGAAGCTCGACTCGCGTCATCATCCCATTCACTCTCTGTTACTGAAGTGGGCTTTGGCTGATACAAGGATGTTTTCCCGAATGGAGCAGAATGTGAATATTTTAATGCATGGGCATTCATGAGACCCACCAGCTATGGAGAGTGTTCTTCTGCTGGAAGTTCCCAAAGCTCAGGGATGGAGGATATACCTATATAAATCGTCAACGTTTCCCCTTCATCGAGTTGTTTGACAACCAAGGTTCCAACTATCTACACACTCTTTTACACCAGTCTCCTGGTATCACATTCTTTTTTTTTTTTCTTAATTTTTATTTTTATTTTCTTTCTTATTGTCAGTCGTTCACCATGGGTGTTTTCAGATTCATTTCCATATCCCTCGCGGCTGTGTCCGCTGCCAATGCCGCCCAAATCCTGTCTATGCCTCATGCGCAGACTGTTCCCAACTCGTACATTGTCATGATGAAAGATGACACCTCCGATGATGATTTCAACCACCATCAGAGCTGGCTCCAGTCTACCCATACCCATAACATCACCCGCCGTGCAACCATTCAGAACGCCGGCATGAGACATAAGTACAACTTCAGCAAGATGAAGGGATACAGCGGTATCTTCGACGAAGAGACCATCAAGGATATCGCCAAAGACCCCAAGGTATGTTATCAGATAGATCAGAACTCACTTGTATCTCCGAATATAAACTGACGCTCTCTTAGGTCATGTTTGTTGAGCCTGACACTATCATCTCCGTTCACGGAAAGGTTGAACAGAGCAACGTCCCATCGTGGGGTCTTGCTCGAATCTCCAACCCCCAGCCCGGAGCCGGCAGCTACATTTACGACAGCTCTGCCGGTGAGGGTATCACTGTCTACAGTGTCGACACTGGTGTCGATGTCAACCACGAGGATTTCGAGGGCCGTGCTATCTGGGGTTCCAACCAGGTCAACGACGGTGATGACAGAGATGGCAGCGGCCACGGCACCCACACCTCCGGTACCATGGTCGGTAAGGAGTTCGGTATTGCTAAGAAGGCCAAGCTTGTTGCCGTCAAGGTCTTGGGTAACGATGGAAGTGGCCCTACCAGTGGTATCGTCGCCGGTATTAACTGGTCTGTTGAGCATGCTCGCCAGAACGGCGGCACTAAGAAAGCTGTCATGAACATGTCTCTCGGTGGTAGCTCCAGCTCTGCCCTCAACCGTGCTGCCGCCCAGGCCGTTGAACAGGGCATGTTCCTTTCTGTTGCTGCCGGTAACGACAACCAGGATGCTCAGAGCAGCTCTCCTGCTTCCGAACCCAGCGTCTGCACTGTCGGCTCCTCCGCTGAGGATGATAGCCGCTCCTCCTTCTCTAACTGGGGTCCAGCTAGTAAGTCTTGTCTATCTCAGATTATAAGCTACCTTTTCTAACTTGATATAGTTGACCTCTTCGCTCCCGGCTCCAACATTATCTCTGCCCGTCCAGGTGGTGGTTCCCAGTCCATGTCTGGTACCTCCATGGCCGCTCCTCACGTTGCTGGTCTTGCTGCCTACCTTATGGCTCTCGAGGGTATCTCTGGTGGTGCCGTCTGCGACCGTCTCAAGGAGCTTGGTACCTCCTCCATCACCGATGCCGGCCCAGGCACCCCAACCAACGTCCTCATCAACAACGGTGGTGCTAAGGGTGGCAAACCAAACCCCAATCCTGCCCCCAGCCCATCTCCCAGCCCATCCCAGCCCTCCGAGCCCCAGCAGCCTACCCCCAGCCAGCCCGGTCAGCCCGGCGAGCCCTTCCCAGGTGAGCCCCAGCAGCCGACCCCCAGCCAGCCCGGTCAGCCCGGCGAACCATTCCCAGGTGAGCCCTTCCCAGGTGAGCCCTTCCCAGGCGAACCCTTCCCAGGCGAATCTTTCCCAGGCGAATCTTTCCCAGGCGAGTCCGCTCCCGCCCCAGCCCCCATGCCACCATCCCCCCAGCACCCACACACCCCCTACCCAGGTGGCGATAACTTCGACTTCGATGGACTCTGGAAGAAGTACTTCGGCGGTGAACACTGGCGCAAGATGTTTAGCAGCTTCTGGAACTAAGCGGTGACCTTTTGGAATTCTGATGCCCATCATACACTGAAGCAGTGCTTCATGAACTTTCGCTTCTTTTCGTTACTGTATGCCTTAATTGTAACTATTACCCTGTATTTAGTTAGACCTTTGAATATACATATAACCAAAATAATTGTTTGATACAAGTTGTGACGACTAAGCCCATCTTGCAGACATGTATTAAAACATTATACTATTTTTGCTTTGGATATTTCTTAAGCTTGTTGATGGATCTATATAAACCACAAAGACATTTATGAGCAAAGGAGCCGATTCGTGTGATATCATCTGTGCATCTTGGTCTATGATTTGAAATAAATTTACCACAATGCAAACCCTGTTCAAACCACGTTTAATTAATACTCAATAAACCTTCGTTTGATCGTCAGGTTCGTATCTTGAGATTTATGAATCTCATCTGTTAACCGATCGATAATCAAAGCCATGGATAGATCTCGGTCAAACAAGTTTCGTATCAGCCGCAGTCCCTGTTTTGGGGCCATCTACTGGGTTTTCTCCTGCCTGGGAAAGCGATTGTGTGTTTGTAGCGGCAACACCCAGACCGTCTATTCGGCTCTCTTCGTCAGCCTGCGCCCTGACATGATGGCCACAGCTTGGTGCGCTGTCCTGGTTCTTGCCAGCCCACCGTCGCCACTGTGGGTAAACTAAGACGCTTATGCCTCCAAAAATGATGAACAGTCCACATATGGCACCGCCAATGACATCGTAATAATCACCGGCAACTTGAACGCCGTCCCAGAACTTTCCATGTGGTTTCAAAGCGTTTAAGAGGAGAGTCAGAAGCTGGATGACGCCAATTACGATGGCGACTACGACGGTCAGAGAAGTGAGAACTATGGAGTAATAGAGGAACGCAACCGGGTCTCGGGGATTCCGGGATACTGGTTCCTCGACTGGGGTAGACTGTGGCTTAGGCGTTTCTGGGGGAATAGGCGCAGCGGATATTTCGGCTGATGGCTGTGACTTTGAGTCCAGAAAATGTGCTGCTGGCTGCACGTAGAGAGAAAGCATAAGAGCACCGTCAATAGTGTCTATCAGGCACATTCCAGCTGTGAATTCAGGTCAGTATTGAACTCCTTGTAGTCACGAGGTATAGAACAAATAATGGACCATACCTGTGAACAAAATGGGGAGAATCAAGATCAACCAGATACTAGTTCCCTTTGATGCTTGGACAGATGATATCCCAAGAAGAGCAATCTCCGAAGAAGTGTCAAACCCAAGGCCGAATAACACTCCAAGCGGATACATTTTCCACGGCCTAATATCTAGTTATCAGCCTATAATATTGAGCTTATCTTAGCCAAAAGAGATAACCTACCGGTCAATTATTTTGAACATCCCCTTGAGAATGGAGAAGAGAACACCACCTCCTTCGATTTTCCACATTTCTTCTCCTTTGTTTTTGTCACGAAGAACTTTTTTCATCTGAAGGACGAGTTTATACAAGATGTACCCATTCATGATACCCAAAAGAATCAAGAATGCAGAGCTGACGGAACTCCCGATGATGCCACCAATTGAACCATATTTATCAAATTTATCTGAAACTGCTGCTGCAGTGGCTGCCACCACAATTGAAGTGATGATAACGATACTAGGGGTGTCAGTTGACAAGTATCAGGGTTAGTTTTTGGAGAGGACCTTACGTTGAATGGCCAAGCGAGAAGAATGTCCCTACTGTAACTGCTTTCTGACCTGTTGCGAGAAGACGCCGCGTCATCAAGTCAATAGCCTATAATGAGAATTAGATACTATCATTAGATGTAAAAGATATAACCATCTCACTGATATATGGTCCGCATCGAGAGCATGACGTAAACCAAGGCTATATGCAAGAGCAGCTGTTGATGCTAGGAAGCTATGCGTGTAAATTCATTGCGTCAGCGGCTAACCTGGAACGTACAGTTACCGAGTTAAGAAAACTTACGGGTGATATGCCTAGTTCACTGTCAGTGTTGGTAGAAATTACTAGACGGACATACAACACTCACCAATACAATCCCCGCTGCGATCCAAACCAGTATATTGATCAATGCAATAAAAAATATAATAGCGAGAGCAGGCAATGGTATCTTTCTCAATCCCGGTACACGACGGTGTGATCTTTCGGCTTTCTCAATAATGGACCATCTGGGCTTCTTGTCCCTGTTAGCAGTCAAAAGCTGCTCTTCAGCCGAACTTGCATTCGGCATGGTTGAGACTGTATCTGCTATGCTATCAATGATCGTCCTGTCAAACCGATAATGTTGAAAATAAGTTGCTTTCAGTGACTTTGCGAAAGATGTGGGCAAAGTTGCTGTTGATATTTGTGATTCTTTCTTCCAATAGAAAAAGCTAGAATACACCCGTTCCCCTCTTCCAAAACAAATATGCAAAGTCGGAATGAGAGTCAGGTGTATCCTGCTGTTCTTTTCGTCCCTTCTGATATTTCTTTCTTATCCGACATCTGGAGACCATCAGGTGAGCTGGATACGAACAATCGTTCACGTCTTCACTCCCTCGAGTACATTGGATAATCCCAACTGCCCTCATAGCAGAATGAGGGAAAAGGGGGCAAGATATGCACACTTTAATGACAACTTGCTCGGCAATCCCAGGCCGACCATTGCCTTGACGAATTGCCAGTGTGGAGAATCTTGCAGGGAGTGAACCGTCCTATGGTTAACTAGTTAGACGAAAAGCAAAAAAATGAGGGGCCAAACAGTCGAGCAGAAGCAAGGCACCTAGCTGGACGGCGGAAATGGATGGAATCTCGCCCCATTGGCAGGAAAGCAGTCTTCCTCTTCTTCAGCCTGGGTAAACTGGTCAATATCGAGTCAACTATGAGTGTGAGAAAAGGCGATATCGTTTTTGACGGTGGTCAAAGTGCGTGGGATTCCGTTAAGGTAGGGAGTTATTGTGGAGCTCAAAAGCTTGGGTTCTTTAACTAGTTATCCGGTCCACTTCGGTATCAAGCGAGGAAGATAGTTAGGACGGAGAAAAGGAGAAGAGACAAGAGAGAAAGCGAGAAGGTAGGCCAAAAGAATTCCCATTTATTAACCGAGTACACTGCCGATTTACCAAGTTTATATACCAAACATACCAAATCACAAATCACATAAATGTAAGTACAAGAACGGGAATTGTCTGGGGTAGAAGAAACCAAAAAAAATTCGTCATTATAGTCGCCAGTAGTCCTCAGTCTAAGACTGTAAATCATCTGCCTGTGCGCGGAAGACAGTAGAGCCTTGCTCATCTTTGTCGTCCTCGCCATCCTCAAGGTCATTATCATAGTCCTGTGGCTCCTCTGATGCGCGCAGCCCGTCTATATCTTCTTCTAGGACGTGTGGGCTGACCAAAAATTTCCCCATGGCTACCATAGCGCGGTAGATCTCCTTTCCGGTGGGAACAATGTGTTCTCTCGGTAGTAGGAATCCATAACTCCCCCTATCTCTTAGCTTAATCTGGTACGAAAAGCGGACGTCTAGGTCGTGAAAGAACCAATCCAGGGCGCTTCCCGCGGTACTCTCAAGAGCGGACGAAGTGGCTGGTTCATCTGCATCTTTATCACCCGTGCAAGACGCCACGATGCCTCTGCATGCAGCTTTGACGTCATAGTTTTCTCGTGAAGACTTGCGGATGGCCTTTGCTAGGCCGGCGCCTAGTTCTTCAAGATTTTCTAGGTTGGCGGGTAGATGGGCGCATGAGTGGCCATACGGGTACAGGATCTGCTGTGAATAGGAGTGCAGATCCACGAACGCAACAAAGTGGACGTTATTCACTGTTACCTCGTTGCGGGCCCAGCTGGCGATCTCGCGCGCTTCGACGGCCTCGAATGGTTGATCGCCTGCATAACTCTCTGAACAAGGGTTGCTGCGGGTTGCATTGCCGTCCCATTCATAACCCCAGGAATGGTCTAGGTCGATTCCGGGACAGAAAGAGAGGGAGGTCTGCTGTCGGTTCTTTCGCCACAGGCGGTCTGTAGAGAAGGTATATGCATAACCGTCTGGGTTGACAGTGGGGATAAAAACGTAGTCGAACTGTTCTAACAGCTTCGTGATCGATTTGGACTTTCCATAGCCTGTTATAAAGGAGTATGCGATGTACGAGACCGTGGAGACGCTGATCCATTCTCGAGCATGGGTGCCGCCAGATATGACGATAGTCCTTCGTCTGGGTGCCTGCTGTGCGTTGTTTGTCGGGTGTACGCCAACACGAAGAGCAGGAATATCACGTCCTTCGGCTGTTGTGCCCACGCTGATCAGGGTAGTGTGGGAGGAGAACATGGACACGAGTAGGCGCATCCACGGGAGAAGGACAGACAGCGGCTGGTAGTCCTGGAAGAAGATGTTCTTGGTCTCATGGGGTTTCGATTTCGAGGTGCTGGCTGATGGAGAGAAACGGCGGGTCGTAGGACCCTGCTGTGAGGGCGAAGCTGAGCCGGCCTTTGGGTACGATTCGTAGATGGTCTGCGCCAGGTCGCGGATCAGAGGGACATGAGAGGTTTGTAGAGATGGAGGCAGCAGCCCAAGCAGCGATGGGATCTATAGCCGTCAGTATCAGAATATCATTTCACCCGTATATAGCAAAACATACCACGTCCCTGGAGAGCCGTATGTCAACCCAGTCGTCATGGCTGCCCCAGACGTCAAGAAACAGAATATTCGACGCTTCCACCAGCGCCTTGACTTCCTCCTGGTTCTTAATCGTAAATCTAAGGACTACATCCTCTCCGTACCTCGCCTGGAGCGTTGCTGGCGCCCTCGAGACGGTCTTTGCCCGGTTTCTAGGCCGCGACTCGCAGCCCTCGCTGCGCTGCGGCAAGCCCCAGACAGACTCAACGAGCGAGTCCCGCAGTCTCGTCCATGCAGACGGCGTCCGCTGCGTCTCCTGCCTTACCTCTAGCGCTGGATCTGTGTCTGTGGCGGCACTGCGGCCGGACGAGGAGAATGTATATGCCTGATCTTCGTGCTGTGGGACAGCCGAGACCAGCGGCAGCGAGGATGCGAGCGTCAGAAACAGGCTAAGGCGGACGGAGAAGTGCATCTTGCCATCGAGAGATCAATGTGGTCAGGCTAGTTGAAGGAGTCTTTCATATGTTATTTCATTTCTGAGCTGCGACTCTTGAAGATGTGTAGCCGTGGGAAGTTGGCCATGACTTCATCGGTCCTCAAGAACTGGGTAGAAAGATGGATAAATACGAGCAAGTAACAAAAGAAAATCCGACGCCACAGCTTCCCGTCAGCCACAGCGAGCGCCGTTGAACAACTACATAACGAGGACATAAAAACGACATGGGCCTCTGACTATTGAAATACATCAACGAGACGGAGCGGGACTCTCGCCTTACATGAATATGGCTGGATAGCGGCTGGGATCTCTCTGGTACATGAACGCAAGCAAATCGCCGGCGTCTTCGCGGCCGTACAGCCTCCCGGCCGTCACGAACTTCCTCAGCCAGGTCTTGCGTCTCATGGCCAGGCGGACAATGCGAGCGTTTCTCTCTGTCTGGAAGAGCCGGGCAGTGGCCTCAAGCTTCTTGCGGAGGGCCTTCAGCGTGAAGGAGTCGAGCAGGCCTTCTTCCTCCAGCAGAAAAAGCAACAGGATCTGGTAGATGAACTGGGATGTGAGGCCGAGTTGGCCCTCTTCGGCCCTCTTCTTCAGCTTCGGACAGATAATGATTGAGCACGAGGGGGGGTGCCGTCTTTTGTCCATGTCTTCGCCGTCCTGGAGATACATCAGGCCCCGGATGAGCGTCCGTCGGATCTGGCTGAGCTCCTGGAAGGGCGTCCCGATATCACACGCAGGACAATCGCATACGAAACCTAGAGACGCATGGCGCTCCTGTGGCGGGTGAAAGGTGACTCTGGCGTCGTAGCTGAGAGTGAGCTCCTCGCCAGCAGTGATGTCCCGGATTGCATAGGTGGAAATGGCCTCCTTTCCGTTGAAGGGAGCTTTGCAGTTGGCAATGCACGAGTGATTGAATCTCGGCTGCAGGATGAACATGCCGCAGACTGGGTATTCGCCGGGTCTGGCTGTCATAATTCTGGAGACGGTCATGTTGTTGTCAATGAAGGCATGGGTCATGCTAGGATATCTCGCGGAGCCGTTGTCACGCAGGCACAAGAACTGCTGCTTATCCTCTGGCTTCAGCTTCTGGAATGCTGCGAGGACGGCCAGCTCAGTGGTTCTGTACGTAGATGACTTGACCATAAAAAGGGGCTTCTCGCTGAGGACCAGGTCTCCCTTCTTGATGTCTCTCTTCGCGAAGATACCCCATCCTTTTCCAGGAGAAGGCTTCAGTTCAAAAGGCGCGTTTTCGGGGATCTTGAGCTTCGTATAGGCTAGAAACGTCAGCTACATATAAGATCTAGTCAGGCCTTTAAGAAACTCACGGTGTGGTGCGGGCATTTTTGCTGCTGTTATGGTCCGGACCTGGCTGTGAAAGATGGTGAATAACCATAAAAAAACAAATCCAGCTGGAGAATTTATACAGTAGTGTAGCGAGGAGGAACACAAGATACCAACAATAACGCGCTAGCATGTGTCTTAGGAGAGCTTCGCATCCTGACTAACAAAGAGAGTGAACCTCACTTGATAATGCTATAGAGCTCTTAGCTTATCGTCAAGTGAGGAATCTGCTAACATTCCTATACCCTAATGGTGGCTATTAAGCATGATAATTTATATACGGGTATATCTTAAGCCCAATATCTTACCAGTCTGGTCTATATATGAACATATTTTTTGCATATTATGTTGATAGAAGCTTAGGCTGATAAGAGTACATACTGATGCCAGATTTATTTCTAGCCTCAGAGATTGATACACCCGGGAATTTATACTGGCTATAACTAAGTTGCTAGTAATAGTAGTGCTTCTCACAAGGCAAAATCCATATCAATCACCACTGATATATGTATGAAGAAACGAGAGGAGTACCTCTAATCTATAATAGAGCCTTATATTACTTGGAAGCCTTTATCTATCTCACCTAACTTGTAAAGTTGATTCTCTCGCTAATACAGGACTCTGTAATTTCACATAGACGATATATAGTAGCCTATTTTCCTTCACATAATCAACAAATAAGCTAAGGTAATATTTATTTGACACTACATAGGGGCATTGCACAATTCCATGCGGGTATAAGCATATCTTTCGTGGTCGTATTATCCACAGATCCGTTATATTCCTATTGAAATCAAGCATATTCCTACTGTATCTTATATGAATGCCAAGATATAAATAAAACGCGAAGAACCTTAATGGAATTAAGCTCGTCCAATGAAAATTAGTAAAACTAAAAATAGACAAGCTTGGATATTATTATATAAGCATCACGCTTGAGATTTATTTATGTCATGTGATGATCCTGGTGTGTTACCCTCATATGACCCAAATATTTGCGCTTACCTGAAGATGTGCCATTTATTTCAACGTCTACTGCATATCATTTCCCCGTTAGCATTGGAAAGCTGTCCCGGACTTAGAGGCCATGTTCTTCCCACCGCCAGCAAAACCTGTACCCTCCGACGATATTTCCACCAGACCGGGTCGTATCTTTTCTTTCTCTTTCTTCCCTTCCTTGCTCCCTTTCTTGCTTGTCAAGTCGGCTTCACATACATAGCAAAACACCTTTCCTATACGGTCTACCTCAGATGGGTCTGTAGAGTGTGGGTCTGCGCCTTTGTCCGCAGTCATGAATTGGTTGACGCAGCGTTTGCAAATAACATGTCCACAAGGCTTGGCGACTGCGAATGATGTTAGCTATTGTATTAACACGTAGCAAGTTAGAATACTTACGCATAGCCTTGAGCCCGTTGCTGAGGGCCTTCTTGCAGCTTGGACATATGCGGACCATATCACCTGTTTTCTCGTTCTTTTCTTCTGTAAAATGAACAGTCACCAATCCCTTTAGAGAGTATCCATGTTTATTCTGCGGCGTTGATGCAGGGCATATCGGGTTTAGCTTTGTGGACTTCACATCATCTCCGTTCTCAGCAACAGACGGTGTTAATGACGGTACCCAGAAGGAGGGAAGTTGAGATTTCGATGATTCTGCCTAATACCCCGTTAGCATGCTTGAAGGTGTGGCATAGACATGAGACATACCTTCTCCCGTTCAATTTTTTTCATCATCTTCTCTCGTTCCTCCATCGCTATCTTTCGCATCTCTTCTTCATCCAGTTCAAAGCCCTCCTTACGCCTCTTCTTTATCTCCAGACTACCCGGAGAACCATCACCATTCTTCTCAGCCTTTCCATTATCCTCCCTCCTCTCTTCTAGTTCTCTCTTCCTTTTCATCTTCCTTTCTTCAAGGCCCATACTCACCATCTCAAACTCCTTCAGTTCTCGATCTCGCGCTTCAGCAGCTAATCGTTCTTGATCCTCATCACGTTCTTGTTGAGCAATCTCCCGTTCCTTTTCTAGACGCTTTATTTCCTTCCGTTGTGCAAGAAGGTCGTTGACAGCGCATTCTCGGCAGAATAGGTCACCATTCGTGGCGCAGGCGACAACTGGTTCACGAGCTGGAAGAAGACAAAGTCTACATGAAGAGAAGGGTAGGAAGGATTCGCGGGATAGTCGAGTGCTTTGGGAACCCCAGGTCGAGCGTAGAAGGGACCGTTCGTAGGACGTGAAATGAGGCAGCGAGGTGTTGCGTTTTGAATGGGCCATGATGGTAGCCAATTGGGTATATAAACCGGGCAGTTATGTTGTACCTGTTGTATATAGATCAATTATTCCTAAACTGACAAATATCCGAGCTAGAAAGGTGCTCTTCCTGATCTTTTTTCAGCTTGTGAAATGAAATCAAAAAGTCGCGAAGTTGCAGCTGCAATCGATAAGACTGCTGACTAAGCCAGTGTTTGGCAACAACCAATTGTATAATTCAAATTTTTGACAATATTCTACTGGCTGGAATTAAAACCTTAATTGATGATTTGGCCAGGTATGGGCTTAGTCAGCTATCTTCGTCTCTCCAACGAAATAGTTTGGTCAAGTTGTTTAACAAGCTTTTATTGATCAATTTACAGAGCTGCAAAACGAATGCTAATACCATTTCTATACGTAACCAGGCAAAGAGAAAGAAATAGAAGGGCGGGGGGGGAGAAAAAGAAAAAGAAAACCAGAGCAATGTATAAGGTCAAAACAATAAACAGTAAGGTATCCCACCATCCATCCATCCGCCCATCCATCCTTTACCACCAGAATAGGGAAAAAAAGAGAAAAGAAATGGGTGAGCAGAGAACGTGAGGCATCTTACATACGCATGTCCAGCATATATCATGTACGTAGACACAAAAGGAGAATAATAGTAAAAAAACAGATGTAGAAGGGAAAAGGGGGCAGAGTTGTACGACACGCTTGCCGGTCAAGGGAAAAAGAGTAAATCGAAAGGAGTGATAGAAAGGGGAAACGAGTTTTAGCGAACAGTGTGCGCGACATGTGTAGGGAAAGAACAGAACAAACGGAACAGAACAGAAGAAGGAAACGGTTTTTTATGTATTCCACAATGATGAAAAAAGCCGGGTATTTTGTTTCGTTATGCCATCCATCCATCCATCATACGTTTCTTTCAGAAGTAGGAAAAAAAAAGTGGAGAAGAAAGGGAAAGAAAAGGTAATGAAAGAGAAGAAATGAAAGATGCTAGGAATGGTTCAAGACGAATATGAGAGAGAACAGAGGTATGTATGTATTCAAGCTACAACAAGCTTTGAATCATCATGAGTGACTTGGTGTTCACTAGTGTTGCCGGAGCCGGAGCCCGGGGTATGCGACACGTCACTTATTGCTGGGGAACAACGGGATGGAACCGTCGGAGCACCTGTATCTGTGGACTTGGAGGTAAGAGCAGATGCGATGCTAGTCGACCTAGCTATCTGTGTACCTGTCTGATCTGCACTTTCCGGTCCAATGGTTGAGACAATGGAAGACGCAAAGACCGAATCTGTGCCATCATCACCACCAGCAGTTGAACTGTCCGGTTGGCCTTGGGCTGCCTGGAGCTGCTGGTTCGACTGCGGCTTACGCTGCTTTAGCCTCTGCTCAGGTGAAAGGATCTGCCATTCAGAACCGAATGTGATGATAGACGCCTTTTTGCCGTGAACGGTGAAGCTGGGAGATTTGCGTGGGAGGGTTCCGGGCTCATCGGAGGTAGCTGTAGGTGTAGATGGAGTTCCTGGATTATTGCCGTTGCCAGTGCTAGAATTGACCGAAGTAGAGTGAGTGGAAGACTGGGCAGAATTGGAAGAGTCACGATCTCGGCCCTTGCGGCTGGTGCGATGAAGAGGAACATTGTGGTGGGCTTCTCGAAGAGTACGCTGGAAGCTGCGTCGAACTTTGGAACGTTCAGAAGATGGTGGAGGGGAGGGCTGAACAGCATCCTTGTTTGTCGAATTGGTGGATATAGGTGTGATAGGTTCCTGCTTGCCAGGAGAGTTCGGTGGGCTTGACAGGGAGACGGTATCCAAAGCAAGAATCCCTGTTTCGCGGAGGAAACGTTGCTCCTCGTCGTCATCATCTGTAACACTTGGCCGTGGAGTGACTGTGTTTGATGTGCTGTCAGTGTCTGTGATCGGCGTTGTCACAGAGTTGGGATTAGGAGTAGAAACGTTCGTCTGTTTAGATGCGATGGTGGACGACATCGAGTGCCGATTGCTCTCTGCAGAAATAGATGCGGCTTCGGATCCGACTGGCCCATTCCCGTTTGGCGCAGGAGCAGTTGATATCGATAGTCTCTCGCTATCCTTTCCGCCCGCTAATGTGCTACTCTCCCCAACGTCCCCGGCGCCGTCCATCATTTGACCAAGAGCAAGGCCAACCTCCTTTTTCCAACCTACTGCGCCAACACGGCCCTCTTCTTCCGCCAGATCTCTAGCCAAAATTCCCCGATGACACTTCAAGCGTTCCAGGTCAAGTCGAGCCCACTTCACTTTAGCAGACATCCGACCCGCTGCAAGGATGACCTGTCCCCGTGTCCGTGGATGAATGGGCGTAAGATGTTGTAAGTGTCTCGCGTTCCTCAGTAGTATATCAACCTGACGTTGTGCAACAAATAATTTCTCGTTCGATTCCTTGATGTGTACTGCTATCTGCGCGCGGCGTGCAGCATGCGCTTCCTGTGTATACTGCGGATCTGCATTTGATTGCTTTGCCTTTTCCGAACCTCTCATGCGGATGCCACTGGTGCGGTACGTAGCAGCATAGTTGATCAAATTCACCCACTCCGCCATTTCGGCGTCTGAGTTGGCCAGAAAAACCTCTTCAAACCCCCCGTGACGCACAAGAAGGAAGCCATGCTTGTGCCGTTTGTAACTTGAGTCAAGCAGTGCGACGGCTTCGGCAGTAGACATAATTGTATCAGGTTTGAATGCCGTAAGTGGCGGTGTGAATGTCACTGCTGGGGGCCGGCTGTCCTGCTTACATTTTGCATCATACTGTAAGATCAGGGACTTCACCCATTGAACGTCACGGAATAGATAAAGCTGCGAGCCTGTAAGCACAGCGCCCCATTCCTGCCAGGGCGACAAAGCCTTTTTCTTTTTCGCGTCCTTGCGCCAGAGTAGACCGACTTTGACGACACGAATATCGACTAGGCCAGGTTGAGATTCTGCTGGGTTGGCTATAGTCGATTCAGTCATAAATGCATCTGGTCGAGAGCGAGCAGAGACAATCTGAAGTTTGCACGGATTATCGAAGGTGTTATTCAGTTGTGCTATAGAAGGAGGGGAGGGTAGATGTGTGTTTGTCGCCGGAGTTGAGGAGTAGATGTCTTCGAGTTCCATGACATTCTTCAGATTAGGCCGTAAAGAGGACACCCTGCCTTCAAGAATGAGCGCATACGGGTCAATTGGATCCTTAGATGACTTCATCAGATGGTCTGTGCTTGCCATCTTCGTCATGAGGTTGCTTCGGGCTTTGGGTGATGAGAGACGGGAACTTAGATTGATTTCATCTTCAACATGGATAAAGGGGGTATAGCAGATATTATCGTAAAAGCACTCAAGCACTTCCTCGGCCACGCCCTCCCCACGAGTATTCTTAACGTAGTCCGCGCGCTGCATTTTCCGCTTGTTGTTCTTGTTAAACACATCCGTGTGCAAAATGAGCAGTGAAAAGGCAATGAAATATGCTTGATCGGTGGACTCAAAGATTCCCGGATTACATTCATGGTAGCGATTGGCGAAAGATTGAATCATGCGGTCAATATGTTGAGTTTCACGAGGTAATTCAGCTTCCATCAGCAGCTTGCGAATAGCCATGTCCATCGGATCACCAAAGAAGGAGAAACTACGCATATACTTGCGTAGAGCCACTGAGTAGAATTCTTCTGCCGATTGGGACAAGATGCTTGCGATGGCACCACGATGAACGCTTGATTCCAGGCGGGAAAGATAAGTTGCGGAAGTATCAGTTGGAGAACGGGGTGGATATGAAGATAATTCGCGAGCTAGGGAAAACGAGTTTGGTTTAGACGCCGTAGGAGTCATTGGACTGGGCCCAGCTCCAGGAGTGGAAGCGGTGGGGGTTCCTGACCGAGGTGTCATGGTGAGGTCATGCTGGCTGTGTTTAAGACGGGAGTGGATATTGAAAAGATCACTGAAAGATTTCCGCGGAGCACTGATTGCCGGTGGAGTGACGTCTGGTGTTAAACTGACATCAGTGTCGTCCTGAATCTGGTGCAGAGAACCTAGGGTGGAAGATCTGGCACGGCGTTTGGCACGGTCAGTGGCAGATGGCGAAACAGACGACTTCGATCGGCCTGAGGTAGCAGAGTCCTTGCGGAAGAGTGGAGGTCTAGGAGATCCGGCGGTTGATGCTGGGCGGCCAGAAGATGAATGTGAAGGTGATGGCAGGTTCGAATCGCTGTATAACTCAGCAGATTTGCTCGATTGGGTCTGGCGATGGTACGCCTGGCCATCTGTGGGAGGCAGTTTAATGGGTACGGGAAAGAGAGAAGCTCTGCTTTTCTTTAGACGGGGGAACCGGAATATAGATGACGAGGCAGAAACAGGTTCTTTCTTCGACGGCTGGCCAAAAGACATGGATCTGTCACCAGAGCTTGCGTCAGAACGAGAAGATTCAGATAGGCGAGCGTTGGAGAGGCCAGACTGTGAGTCTGCATGTGCATGAGCCCGGTTTCCGCTACGGAGAGAGGTGGTGGACAGTCTTCCAGCCTCTTCGAAGCAGATGTGAGAGTGCCTTGCGTTGGAGGAGGCCGGAGGTGTCGAGTTAGCACTACGGTCCTTCTTGGGTCTTCCAGTGAGTCCCGGGCTCGAGCTTCGAGAAGCAATTTCCGCATCAGAGACTAGGTTGTGTGATGACCGTGAAAAATGTAGCTGGCCATGCGGTTGACTTGGTGGCAGGCCCTTTACTGGCTGTTCCAGATTGGGATTCGTCGGCGAGGTAGTGATAATTGTCGGTGCTAGAATCCCGTCAGTAAACATTGTCAACCGTTCTCCTCCCGTCTCTCTCTCTCTCTATCTATCTTTCCCAGGCGTCTGTAAGCCAAATTGATACATGGGAAAACCTACGAGGAATCAGCTTTGGCACTGGCGGTGGTTCCGAGTTCTGGTAGCTGGACGACAATTGGGGGTCGGAAGCGTGCCGGAATCTCATCAGACTAAACCGGTTTCTCTTGGTCGCTGGACGAGACAGGGCAGGATCTTTACCGTCCTTCTCCCAAGCCGAATCAAGTCTGCTTCCATTGTTGCAATCGTGAGCCAACAATGAGCGTTCTCCGGTCACGGTCTGGGTCTCTGATAGTCGGGGCAGCGGGGAGCGAGGGCGTGATCGAATCGAGTGCTCGCTTTGACGAGGCGGCAGTTCCACCTCCGAGTGCGCGGGCGACACATGCTTCTTTGCAGTGTCTTTGGAGCCGCCCCGGAGAGGCCACGGCATCCTGATAGCGGTCACCGTCTCCGTGGCGGTCGTCGTAGAAGCGGTGGTTATCGTGGTGGTGTTGGATCTCCTCCACATCGCACACTGTCATGTCATGTCATGGTCAAGAGGGAGGAGGAAGCCCTATCTGGCAGGCCCAAGACCAGGTCGTACTGCGTGCAGCGTGATAGAGGAGATGTGATAAGTGTCGAGATAGGTGATGTCCTTTTTTTTTTGGTTATTTTCGTTCTCCCTGGAAGGAGGCGTGTTTCGCTGGCTGAAGCTGAAGTCCCCCTGTGGAGGGCAAGGGAGCCAGGGCGAGAGATGGGGCTAGTGCGTCAGCCTTGGAAGGTTATTTACCACGCGAACAGCAGTCGAGGACCAACCGAGTGCGTCGTCGACTCCGGCTACTCTGCGAGGTGCCCGTTCTCGCTCTCTTCCGTCTGTTCACGAGTCCGTCAACCTGGCTGGTGATGAAGCGTGAGGTTGAAGTTGGCTCAAAGTTGAAGTTGAGGTTGAGCGTCGAAAGCCCAGGCTGAGCAGATTAGGTAAGCCGGGCAGAAAAATTTTTAGAGAGAGAAGGACGCCAAGACCAGTGTTATTCGTCCTTGTCCGCGACGTCAACATCCATCAACAGACGTCGAGATGTTGGCGTTGGCTTCCGGCGCGAGGCGAGGGCGCATAGCGACAGCAGTAGGAGCCGTGGGAGAGGAGAAAAGAGGAGACGGGACTAGGGATACTACCATGATGGCGGGTTGCAGCGTCCGGCTATTAATAGCGCTGATTACAGAGGGTCGCTGCATACATTATACAGGGTTCTTTATAGGCTGCTTAGGCGTTGGCCGCCGACTATTGGCCCGGACGGCTCTTGGTATGCATCTCCTTGCACCGTTTCTCCTCACCGCGAGCTTCTAGATGCCTGCATGGAACGCAGTCTATGATGTAAGAGGACCAGAATATTGCCGGTTTTATCGGTTGGTGCCTTTGTTCCGAGCTACATGAGCTATTCCGGATAACTACTCAATATCTAGTTAAAATTCCCTTATTATCCCAAGCAATTATTGCACCCTAGCAAGTTCTCTCGCCTTGCCCAAACCACTGTCCAAAAGTCAGAAACGAACTCGCCTCCCTCTAGAAGGAGTCCGAGAAAAGCAGAATCCATGGCAACGTCCTTCAACACAGTTGTCATGTGCCGTGTCACCAGTTGCCGTAGAGGGTCAATCTGTTTGGAACCTCCTCACGTGTTGTCCTCATTGTAGACAAATTGGATGAGCTTGACAAGGTCTCCGATTCTTCTGGGAAAGAGAGTGAAATCTTTTAGTGTCGTATGGAGCTTGAACAGCACCAGCTCTTTTAGCGCCTTGATGCAATATTTGTCTGCTATCACATACAGCCTAGCATGGCCAAGAAAAACAGGAGTAAAGTCCTGGTCATCCGTGACATTGGAGAAGGGTTTGAACTGCTCAGTGAACTCGGCGCATTTCTCCGGGAGCATGTATCTTTGATCATTTGTTATATCCGAACTAGGCCCTAGGCTTTGCTTTGGGCGCGAAGTCAAAGAATGCTTTTCCTTTCCTTTTTTTTTGCTTGTTTTTTTGGGGGAAGAAGGAATGGATACTGGCGACATCAAAGGTGATTCCAAAGCATGTGCCAACTTCTCAGACTGACTGTCATCTTCCACCGGAACAGCTTCCTTCACGGGATTACTGTCCCAGCCACAGCTAGGTGGGGAATAATTGTCCAAATAACAAAATTCGCAGAACCGAACAAAGGTATCCTCATCCACATCAGGCCATACTACCGTTCTAGAATGTGCCTCTAGCATATTGCCGTTTACCAGCCCATGGAGCGCGGATGATTGCTTTGCAATCGCTTCGGAATTCACAACGAAAGGAACCTTTTCAGGTCCAATGAGGAAGGTAAAAAGTTCCGAGCGGATGAGTCTATATAGTGTTAGGAGCTTTATCATTGGCGTAACTAAAGCAATTCTTACCTGCCAAATGGTTTATCCATGGTAACAATGCATAGAACATCAACTCCTAGGTACAGCGGAGAGAATACCAGTTGTTAGGTCGATGTATATAGAAGCGGGAGAAGACCAGCCTTTATACCCCATCTCATCGAACATAGAAGCTGGAAAGAAACAAGCCGGAGAGTTAGAAATATGTTCTTTCTCCCGTAGAGGCATTGATTAGTACTTCCGAGACAGCACATGCACGAAAATATGAGAACGGATGATTGCATTGCTATCTTGCACAAACGAAAATATCTATCTGCATTGGTTGAAAACATATCATTTTGGACAAGCAGCCCGCCTCATGTTTTATCATGCTATACACGAGTGGATATGGTCTTAGAGATAAAGCGGCCAGGTGCATTTTAACTACAATTCTCAGAAAGAATGATATCTAATCGTAAATCTGTATGATTGCCTGCTGAGAATGACATGCTATCTTCCGAAAATGAGCTGCATCAAAGGATATGGACTTGAGGACGACGAAACAGTAGGAATTAGGGGAACATCGCAGTCTAGTGATATATTATGTGAAATAGTGCGAAGAAAGGAAAGCACATGATTCTATACAAGCCTGAATATCACAAACGCTTTACCGGGGCGGTAAATTCTTCCTATCACTTGCCTTCTTGAATTCGCGAACGGTGATATCGCACTTCACCTCCTGACAGAGCACACCACGTCTGTAAGGAAGTAGCTTGCTAGCAAACTCAAGACCACTTGCACGTTCAATGGCTTCCAGCGGCACCTCGAAATCCTGCAAGCGTTTCTCGTTTGGAATTCTGGCATTAGGGAGCACGAATGCTCCCAAACTAACTTTGCCGTACTCTCCGTTCCCGTCTTCGGCGAAAATAACCTTGTAGAAATGCGTGGGCACAGCAACATTGGGAGGATTGCCAATCACTTCATAGCTAACTTTCCACTTCCCATCAGCGGGATCACGCTTGGGTAGGTAGAGTGGGCCAGTAACAATGCGGACTGATGGGTATTTCTGCGTCAATCTGCGGCAGAAATCCTCAAAGTGAGCCCAGTAGTCGCGGTTGAAACCCTCTCCGACCTGGGGACACATGTTTGCCAACGAAAATGTGGCATCCATTGCTTCCTGACTCCATTTTGCGTCTGCAGCGGGTACTTGGTGCCCTCTATCATATCCTGAGCGGTAATAATCGCTCAGCCGTGCGCGGAAAGCGGCTGGGATGGACTCTTCTTCGTAGAATTGGCTGTGAGATCGGTCTCCGTCACGCTGAGCCACGGATTCAGGAGTTATATGCTCAACGACCCAGGCTGGATTACGGGTTCGACGGTCGAATCCGGCTGTTAGGGAAGGACTATCGATCACATCGGAAATTGGTCCAGGGAAACCATATTGGAATAGCCCGCTAGGATCGACTGGATAGCGAGAGGTTGGGAGAGCTGGGGGTGGGACACGGGCAGCGGCGGCGACAGGAGAGGTTGCTGAAGGTGGAGGGGGTGCCCGAGCAGCTGGCAGAGGTTCATGAGGCTGGCGACGAGACGAGCTGGAGGAGTAGAGTAGAGCAGTGACACCAGCGCCTGTAGCTACACCAGCGGCTGCGATGATAGCGAATGTGGCTTTCGACATCTTCAATGCGGGTATTGATGGCACTTTAGTACAGCTGAATTGATCCTAGTGAGTGTGTATATGGTGGTAAAGAACGAATATAAACCCTCCCTCCTTCGTCGTCCTCCTTATCGTCCTCCGTGTCGTCGTGACCTGACCTGCTGATTGAAAGAAAAGAAGAGTGCACGGGCCAATTTTTGATAGTTACTCGGGCCGAGTATTTTACCGAAGTTTATTTAAGGTTCCATCCAACCAAGGTTCCATCCAATCACAAATGGGCAGTTACACCAACGACTGGTTGACAGAATAGAACTATTTTTAGTATTTATTGTCCAATGAGGAGTATCCATCTTAGTATATGGTGAACATCTACGGAGTACTAGTAAGCCATTATCTTTAATCTCTATGCCTGAGCTTTACATTCCATGCAGATAAAAGTTGGCATATCACTTAGACAGTAACAAGAAAGGGCCAGCTATGAATTAATTATCCTGGGAATTTTATCTAGAGAACTCACAGAAACACATACTCTTCCACGCCGTTTTTTCAATTATAGCCTTCCCTTCTGTACCTACGCTGACGTACGAAGTAGTTAATGTATATATCCTCAAATATGTATATCTCGAAACGCGAAGGATGCATTTCAAATCACAACTGAACAGTTTCAAATAAAACACCCATGGTTGCATAAAGTGCATCCGGAATGAACATCTCCGAAAAAGCTTCCCCGTAAGCTGATTAAACTGCGGACCTGAAATCGAGCTACTACTCAAGTGGCTGAGTCAGCCCCGAAGGCCACTATCTGATTGTCAACAAAAAGGGATGGAAGGCGCGTCCCTGAAGCCTTGAATTAATCAGCCGAAATATGGGGCTCTTTCCATGAAGGGAACCTTATTCTGGATCCCAGCGGGAATTTCATATCACATGACGTTGTCCTGTTGCCCGGTCGCCCAAGGTTTCCTGCAAGTACGCAGCTCCACCCAGTGCTGAGAAGGACAGAATGAACATATATTTGAACAGTGTAATATTGAAATCTCGTTCAACTCTGTGCGCCCTGTAGAGAGACACATCAAGTGGGAGCTTGCCTGAAGAATATGGAGTAGGTTAGCCAAGCGTACCCCTGCCCGTATTATTATGTCATACGGTCTCCCTTTTCGTGTGCTGGAGAAGCCGCCCCATCCCGCGGAAGATCATGTCTAAGACTCCACGGTCGGCTGGGTTGTCGGAAACAACCAGCGGATATTGAACAGCTCCCCGAGTTGTTTCTTCAGCGAGCACTTGAAGTAGTGAAATGCCTTCCACAGAGTACCCCGTACTTACTTCTGTCTCTTTATGTTACTCCGGCGACCTGCAGGGCGGATCGGACAGATCGGACGACGTGCTTACTAATCTGCCTTATGCACCACGTGATAAGCTTTATAGGTTCCTGATGCAGGGACCTTGGGGGCGACGCTAGTCCGCTTTGGGAAGCCTCGATGCATTTCCCGTCGCTTACAAAACGCGCGGTTGAAATAAGAGAAAAAGCTGGTCTAAGCTCGCTCAAATAATGTCTCCGTTTATTAATCCTCGACGTCTGCCTTGTTACTGCTGGCCGTCTTCTTCCTCCCTCGCTGCCATGCCTCAGCTGTGCTGTTGACCTACAGCTGGACCAGCACTTTTCACCCCGTGACGTTTCTGAAGCCGCAGTGGCGTATGGGTTGAGCGGGGTGAGGAAATTGATACATTCGATACGGAGCCTGGATCAGGAGGTTTCGCCTCTCTGCCAGCAGGATGTTGTCAGAAAATGATGCCCAGGGTTGGATAATGAGCTGCATCAGCGGCATTGGTATGTCGAATCTAGTGTTGTTAACATGCGTCCTACTGATGATTGGATATAACAGCGTGTGCCATCGGATCTGGCCTCATTTGCGTGGACGTTATTGCGCAGTATCTTGGCAAGAAGGACTTTAGGATAGCGGAGAGTGATGTTTTCCTCTCATCGTCGCTGAGCTTGAGTGGAGGCGTGGTCGTACGTATGCCTGATACTGCTGGCAAAGTTGGATAAAACTGGGAGACACAAGGGCTAACTGATATCAGCTTTTTACCGCCTTGTATAGCATGTTGCCTACCTCGAAGGGCTACCTGACTCGCGCCGGATATTCCCCACAGCTAGCGGCATACACCCTCATAGCGCTGTTCTTCTCTGGTATCATCGTTATAAATATCTTTTCCACCTTGCTGCACCGATGGATGCCCTCCCATGTTGTCAGTTGCGGGCATTCACATTCACGTCCTCATAAAGCCGAAGACATCGAGCAAGCAGCGGAGACGGTGAATAATGCGCACCCTGAAACCACAGAGACCACTCCCCTACTACCACATAGCCATGGCGCTGCTAGGACTAGTGGCCCCGCCGCTCCTCGTCAGCAGCATAACGGTGCATTGCCCCAGCCGGACATGGGAACACTGCACAAGCCATCAGTTACAGCACAGCTCTCAGAGCAGATAAACCGTATAATGGGCGGTTCTTCCAAGCCTTCATGTGCAAACGGCAAATGCTTTGGCGTCTCTCAAGCTTGCGGACTCGAGTGTAGGAAGCTCAGGATACAGGTCGAATCTGGAGAGATCACCGACGTTACCGACGTTACCCAGCCCGCAGGTCATGACAGAAATGCCGCTCCTCAGTCAACCACTGCTGAAGAGGCTAACACTGGCCACCACACCGAACATGCCGCTCTCGGTACATCGTCTAGCACCGCGACCACCGCTTATGCCCCTTCGCCTCCTTCCGAGCAACCCTCAGCACATCATCACCATGTCCCGCAGAATGCCTTCTTATCCATCGGTCTCCAAACTTCTCTCGCCATAGCCTTGCACAAACTTCCAGAAGGATTCATCACGTACGCGACGAATCACACTAACCCCACCCTCGGCTGGTCAGTTTTCGTCGCAATATCCATTCACAATATTACAGAGGGATTCGCCATGTCTTTACCTCTCTACCTAGCACTCAAGTCACGGCTAAAAGCTATCATTTGGTCCAGTCTGCTAGGTGGTATCAGTCAGCCTGCAGGGGCTGGAATAGCTGCCCTCTGGATTTGGGGTTCATCTGGGACCGGTCGGCCTATAAATGATGAACACCCTGATGGACCTTCTGCAGCTGTATATGGGTGTATGTTTGCCATCACAGCTGGCGTTATGACGAACGTAGGCCTGCAGCTCTTTACAGAAAGCATGATGCTCTCCCACAGGAGAGGGTTGTGCATAGGTTTTGCCTTTGCAGGCATGGGTATTATTGGTCTCAGTTTTGCATTGACTGCTAAATAAACCGTGTCAAAATTTGTTTCGATATGGTCCTCCTTCCGTCCTGGCTGGGCCAGAATTATGCCGCTTTGTGTTGATTTGATGCCATGCTGAGCGTTCTCCTAGAAGTAAATAGATCCTTACCCACCCATTTGCATCAGCAGTATATACATATCCAATAAAGGAGAACGAAGTATGACGAAATTTATTATCCGCTGCTCTCCTTCTGCCTCTCTCTTTCCCTCTTTCGAGCCAGGTATCTCTCCTTTGCACTCATCACCTCTTCCTTCGATTTCTGGCTCTTATTCTTCTCGGCCAGTTCACGTAGTCGAGCTTCCTCCTCCTCCTTCTCTTTCCGTAGTCTCTCCTCAAGCTGTTCAGTGATCATCTCTGTCTGTCGGGCTCGTTGCATTTCCCGCGCAGCTCGAATACCACCGCGGTCATATCCAGGACCAGGGGGCCTTGCACCTGCATTGACGCGGGAACCGCTGGCTGCTGCGGCCACGGGTTTGGGTTTCGATACAACGTTCAATCCCGCAGTAAGCAACTGCCGTTTATCAACCACTTCTCCTTCGTCATTGACGGCGATTTTTGCCCCCTTGGCATTAAGCTCTTCTGCAATCTGTGTTGCGGTCTTCTCCTGCTCCACTTCGTCATTCTCCACCGTCGCTTTGTTCTTCGCTGCTTCTTCTGCAGATCTAACGGCTTCTTCATGTCTCTGCTCATCCCGCTTAAGCACATCCCTGTAAAATCCAACCATCCCAATACCCTTCTTCCTCTTCTCCGCTTCTTCCTTTTCCTTCTCAGCCTCCTCTGCTTCTATCCTCTTCACTTCTTCCTGCTGCGCCTTGTAAGCAGCAGTCACAAACTTATCTTTATCCGCAAATTCATCCCCCTCAGCCTCTCGTTCGCGAGCTAGTAGCTTATCCCTTGCCCGTAGCTGATCTCGTTTCCGTGTGTCGGCACTCTTAAGAAGAGCAGTCATATATTTCGGTCCCTGCGATGCTGTATTGCCATTCAAATCGGAGTTTTTGGACTTTGACCGGGCATGCAAAGAGTCGTATACTCCATCGTAGTCATATATTGATGGATCGAGGGACTCGGCTTCGTTTGCGTGCTTCTTGCTGGTATGAAGAGCGGAAAGATTGGTGTATTCACGTTTGGATGGCACATCTCCGAGCTTCGACGATATTGTCTTCTTTTTCAACGGAGCTTCATCCGTCGTTCGCGAAGGGTTTGATTCCGGGGAAGGCGACAAACCGCCTAACGTTGTGATCTCGACGCCGCTTGACTCGCCATCCTTTTGGCCTTCGTCTTCGGAATCTGGGTCATCCCACAAGCTTTTTCGTTTCTGGCCGGCGAATACAGAGCTGGATGAATTTTTTGTATTTGCCTTAGACAGATTAAGACCGTAATTGAGCTTTGGTGGTGCCATCTGGAATGCTGTAAATTTGTTATTTGCAACTTGCAGCATTGAAGCTACAAAATGTCGCAAAACCGAAGCTTCCAAGGTTCACTTTGAAGATGTTCCACGTGATATAGAGCCGCATTATATTATGTAATATCTTAGAGTGTCAACTTGGGCCGATTTTAATGTCAACAAGCCACTGCGAAATGAACATCTTTGAGGTGTTGATAGGACAGGGAGAATATCTATCACTCGGAAACCTGTGAGGATAGCGGATATAACATGTCATACTATTTCACAATTCTGTCGTCGGCAGACGTACCGCTCTTCAGCCAGGCATTCGGGACTTCGAAAGGGGGCGCGGATGGCATTGCTCGATTCCGATATGCCGATAACGAGAGATATATGAACCAGTTCATTATACATGCAAGCCTGGACATAGTTGAAGAAGTCCAATGGACTAATGGCGCCATGTAGGTCCCCGCCTTGTCATCTAGACCGCTTTAACTACGTATACTGGCTCTAATGCTCGACTAGGTATCTCAAACATATTGACACCTACCCGCCAGCTTCAGCATATATCTCTGCGTTTCTCACAGGAACAGGGGTTCGGTTTCTTCTCCTACATCAACCCCCACCTTCGACCTCTCAACCTGGTGCAGGGGGGTCCGCCAGTGGTAGCGGTGGCGGCTTATCCGCTTCCGGCTTCCTCTCAGGGGCCTCGGGCTCGTCGCGAAGTTCGTCATCGTCGATAGCGCATAACCCTACCTCTCCACAGACCGAAGATGCGATTCGGCAGTTTATGAATGAAGTTTATGAAAATTGGGTCAAAGCAGCCATGAGTCCATTTTATCGGCGCGGCATGGAGATTACGAGCCCAGTGTTCCGTTCCAGAGTAATCGCTGCAGGGAAGAAGTGGTTATAAAGCTTGGTGTGGAGGAAACACTGCATAAATAATGAAGAGATGGGCAGAGTAGGCTTGGTTTCTGCCTATAGGGATCTTGAGCAAAGCTCAGTTCAGCCTCCGCCCGTTTTCTAACCAGGGTTTATTCCCAAAACCCATGGTATGATACCGCTTGAGCAGCAATCCCGTCATAGATGTTCAAATTGCTGTGCACCAGAGCCAAGTGAAATGTCTTTTACGGGCTCCAATGGCGCATCTACTATTGAGCTTTGAACAGAAGGCCAAACGAAACCCTGATCCAGCATTTAAAAGTCAAGAGACTACAACGCTGATTTTAGTGCACCAACTCTATGTGTACCAAGGGGGAGCATGTAAGAAACTATTGAACAATTCATTTCTGCATATTCTTACGAACCTTTGGATAGAGTAAATGAATAGATTCAGGGTTCTCCAACTAATTAGTGTGGTTCAACTTTCCTAGGAGCGTGATGACATCCCGAAAGTAATTAAAAAGAGCGTCCATCCTGGAAGCAAGCAATTAAAAACGTAATCCAGAACCAACCCCATGACCCAAGCGCCATAACCCAACGCCATTGAGTGCCATGAAATAGTAAGTAGGAAAAAAGTAGCGTAAATGACGGGAAATAAAGGAAGATGGAGTGGGTATTATACTAGCACCCAGAGATACTGTGATCTCGGTCTCTCAGGATACCATCATCTGTGGCGCCATCTTCTTCACCAGGAGGTTCTTGAAGTTATCCACGGCATGAACAAGGTCATCTATACGTGATGTAGCACCGAGTAAGCCACCTTCCATCTTCACACTATTGCAAGCACCGAGGTGAAGAGTGTGATCGAGTGCTACTGCACCATCTTCCAGTAGCAAGCAGTCGAACCCTTTATCACAGCCTTCTCTCAAAGTGCTGGCTACGGCTCCGTCAGTTGTCATACCGACAATGACAAGGTTCTTGATACCTTTGTTACGTAACAAAAGTTCAAAGTCCGTGTGCGCAAAGGCACCACGACCTGGCTTATCGACAACAGGTTCTCCCTCCAGTGGGTAGAGGTCTGGGACGATATCATGGCCCGGCTCACCGCGGATGAGAAAGCGTCCTAGTGGACCTGTGGACCCGATCCCGGTGGCTGTGGGGTTGTTGTGGGAGCGGAAGTTCTCTCGAGTAGAGAGGGTAGACAAATCCGGCCTATGCCCTTCGCGGGTATGGTAAACTGGGAAGCCAGCTGCGCGGAACGCGTCTAGCAGCCGTCTGATTTTAGGAATTAGAGCCATTGCAGGAGTGACATCATAGCCTTGATACGCCATGTACCCTTCTTGCGAGCATACTATATACGGTTAATGTCAGGCCGAACGATCAAGACTAGCGAAGAGTTCTTACCATCCCGCTGCATGTCCACGACTACCAGAGCCGTGGTGAAGGGGGTAAAAGTAGCATCATGAGGCCAGTCGTATGGTACAGCAGTAACCTGCCCCTTTTTGACACGGTGGTGAGGCGTTTGTCGCGGTTTATCCACTATGGCTCCATGGTTATGAGACGGATTCAACACAGTAAGCGTCCAGATGCCCGGGTTGCCAGCCGCCACTAGCATGAACGGGCAGTCCATCAACCTCGACGTCCGTTTACGTTTACGAGTCTCCTCTGTCAACCCATTTCGGGGCCTGTACTGTCCTCCGCGATCGCATCTCAGCCAAACCTTCGCGGTCCGCCCTGGCTTCTTCTCGGTGGGCGTGCTCGATGACTTGACCACAACATTGTACCCGTGAGCCTTCGCGTGAGCATGTACCGATGCAATCAACGACGCTTTATCAGGATACGTGCCCTCAGGCGGCGGGACGAGGTCGTCTACTGGGGACAGATCGGGGATATCTTGCAGGTCGCTTGGTGCATCGAGATTCAGGTCTGTAGGGTCTGCCATGCTCACCGCATGGCCAGGTGCAGCGGACTGCCCTTCTTTCCAGAAGTTAGCACCATTGCGAGAAAGCATATGTAGAGATGTGCCGGGGATGGCAGAGATGGAGCCGGTAGAGATGGGATATAGCCAAGGGTCGCTGTGCGTGGAGGTACGGCGGAAAGTTGTGGTGGTGCCAGATGTATGCCGGAGCCTGTGGTGTGGACCAAGTAGAAGCAGACGCAGCCAGGGGAGAAACTCACCTATACGACAAGATGAGGAGCTCGCTGGGACGTCTCTTTGGGCCTCTGTTAGGATGCTCTATGCAGGTTGCTTTCGTCTCCTTCACTTCCTCGCCTTCACTTCGTCGTCGTCGTCTTTTTCTACTTCTTAGATGGACTTTTCACGCATCCAGCAAGAGACAGTCACGTGAAGATTACTCAGATCTCGAAGCGAACCGACGACGATGCAGCAAACGAATGGAAAAGGCGTCACAGAAAGACTGGTTGACGGCCTATGAATAATAGCCTGGCTGATGCTTAGCTGCTTAGATCGGCGGGACATTGAGGCTATATGCTGGGTTGACGGCTGAGTCTGACGGTGGCTCATAGATATATCCCCAGCAGCCCGAGACAGCCAATTCTTATAGATCCGAGCGCTGCATAGCTTTTGAACAAAAATGGCCGGGACTTATGTCGAGATGTAACAAGCCCAGGACCTGACTGTTCACTGATACTAGCTAATATACCACCTAGTGACAGGATGACTACTTCTTCTGTACCATCAAGTTCGTATGACGGAGAGGCCCCGTCGATGATACCCATCATGGAGATTGCTGCCTCCGCCACAGATATTGAAGGCGACGGCGATGGTGGCGACGATGCCAGCATAATCGACTTTTTAAAGCCCCTAATCCTTGACGATAGCACGGTATACGACCTTGCATACCGATTCTCAAAGACTTTCAAGGATGTTGCGGCAAATTCTCTGGAGCAGTTCTTCCCTACGGCTGTGACTCGTCTCCCCACGGGCCAGGAGACCGGTCACTATCTGGCTGCATATGTTGGCCTGTCCTATCTCCGGGTGGCCTTTATTGATTTGCTAGGCACTTCTGTACCAGCAGCCAGGGTCCATAGTAACGATGGTGTGGCTTCACCGCGTGTACGGCGGACGCTGGAGAAAGCGTGGCCGATTGAGGAGCGTTTGAAGAAGGATAATGCTAAAGACCTATTCGCATGGATTGGTGATCGAGTTGCTGAGGTTGTGGCCGACAGCCTGGAGCCGCAAGGGAGCAGTTCTCCGCCATCGGTAGACATGGGCATTTCATTTTGTTTCCCGATAAAGTATGTTCAAAAGATACATCGCTCCTGATTTCGCCGCAGCTAACATTTACTAGGCAAGGGAATCTTAATGAAGCAATACTGATGCCCACTGGTAAGGGGTTCGCTATAAATTCGGATCTTAACCTTCGTGAGGCGTTACTGGATGGATATGAGTGCCATATACGCCGCGCCAACCGCGAGTCTGCTGCAGATGCTAAGCGGCTACGGCGCACTCTGCCGACTCTGAGAGTGGTAGCTATTACCAACGATACGGTTGGGACGCTGGCGTCTCTTGCATACTCAGTACCATCTCTCCCTAACAGTAAGGCAGTAATGGGCCTCATCGTCGGCTCAGGATGCAACGCCACAATTTTAATGAACATGGACGCGCTCAACGAGAAGAAGACTCGTCCGGTTAGAGCTAATCAGCCTGACGCTTCTGAGGTCCTTGTTAGCACAGAATGGACTCTCCGTGACTCCTCTCGCCCCTTACTGGAACTTAGTATTGCCTCAGACTGGGACGATACACTTACTCTGGGAAGCAGTCGACCTGGTTTTCAGCCCCTAGAGTATATGGTCGGTGGCCGATACATAGGCGAATTAGTCCGTATCATTGCCCATGATTATTTCAAAACAGTTTGCGGGATACCCGACGAAGCCCTTCCTGTGGCAATAGTCGAGCCCTACCGGCTTACAACTGATTTACTTTCCTTAACCATTGCCTCTCACTCCCTGACCAAGAAAGGCCTTGCCTCTGAACTTCAAACTAAACTACCTCCTCGTCAGTCAACAGCCGAATGGATATGGACTGAAGAAAATGCAGGGATATTACGCACTATTGCAGCCACAGTGCAGAACCGTTCTGCTGCCATAGTAGCCGCTGCCACCACAGGGCTGCTCGCGTGTACGGGGCACATCCATCTAAGTAGCCTTGATGAGCTAGCTTCCGCTGCTCACACACCCACCAAGGAGGCTACCTCCTTCTTACAACCCAGAGACCTTCGAAGCCCTGAGGAACTGGTTGTTGGATTTTCGGGTGGTGTGATACAGCATTATCCGATGTACAAACAGCATGTGCAGAGATATATTGACCAGATACTGCTGCGCGGTGGCCCGCAGGATGGAGGGAAGAGTATTTTCTTACGGGAGGCTAGCGATGGCGGTATCATTGGAGTGGGTGTTCTGGCCGGAACGACCAAGGGGAGGATTGAGACAATTACAGGAGCAGGCATGAAGGCTGCGGAGCATAAAAATGACCCCCAATCATGAACCACATTATTTGACCGATTTATCAACGTTCGTTCGAATAACTACCTGTTACTATTTAGAAACCTTGGATATAAAATGGGATGGTATGTATATAGGTAGCATCCATGGCGCTTCTTGTCCTAGATAGCTTGTGTATAGGTAATATTATCTTGTACATGACACTGGTTACCATGCTGTATCGACCCTTCCCCTCTGCCCTGCACTGCTCAATACGCCACTATCAAAATAAGCAGCCCTTGTCTTTATGCGTGGCCGGCCCCTATTTCTCTCCTTCATCCACGTGACGGTTGTCATGGTTTCGCTGAGTCAGCAAGTCATCAACATCAAACAAAACAACGAACGAGATGAAGAAATGAAGACGACGAGGACGAAGGCGAAGACAGCGAGACGACCAGCGACTTCAACGGCGACACAGTCAGCAGAGGGACGGGTAAGTAGCAGGGTAAGTAGGCTGGTTCCTCTCCGGCCTGTCTGCGTGAACACACTGTGCGGCACGCTGAGTATCTCGACGATAACACAGCATCTCTTACGTCAACTACACCCTTGGGCGCAAATTAGAGACGGCCGCCACCCAGTCATCCTCAACAGTGTGGTGCAAAGGGCGGTAGCGAATATAGGCTATCGCGAAATCGAGAAGAAAGCTCGATACTTGTCTCTGAGACACCTAAGCGTCCATAGTCCGGAGGGCGGTTTCGGGTGAACAACGCAAACATGGCGGTGGCAGATCCCCCATCTTCGCCGCCCAACGCATCGACCAGTACCGCCGACGCCATCGCTTACTACAAGTCGCAGTATGAGCTGCTCGAAGCCGAACTGGCTGATTTCCAGTCGTCGAGTCGCGAACTGGAGGCCGAGTTAGAGAAGGACATCGAGGCATCGGAGAAGAGGGAGCGGAAGCTGAAGGAGAAGGTCGAGAGCCTGGGCTATGAGGTCGAGGAATGGAAGGTGAGAACATGATATCTGCACACCGAAATGTCTACGCGGATTCTTACAGGTTGATAGACCAAGTACAAGCAGGCTAAGTCAGAGGCCAACTCTGTACAAAGCACGCTGCAGAAAGAGATCACTACGCTACGAGACTCGAACCGGACTCTGCAGCTAAAACTCCGGGACACGGAGGTGGCCAACGATGACTTTGAGAGACAAGCTCGCAACACGACCTCTTCGCTGGAAGACATAGAATCTAAATACAACATATCTATCGAGCGAGGTGTGCTGCTCGAGGAAGAGATCAAGAATGGCGAGCAGGAACGAGAGATGCTGCGAATCAAGGAGCAACGCCTGCGTGACGAGCTAGCGGATCTCAAGGTCGAAACCCATATCATCCAGGAGAAATTGCGAAAAGCCGAAGCTGCTCTGGAACGAAAGACAAAGTTTTCATTACTGGAATCGACTTCAACGAACGGAATCGGCCATCGCCTCGACGCCGCAGACCATTCACCAGCAACGACTACCTCTTCACCCATCGCAACGCCGCTGACCAAGTCTGCATCTTCTGTTGCTTCCGAGATTGCTACACCGCCATCACCACCATTCTCTGAGTCATCTACAAACGGGGCATTCAGGGGTACTACCCCAAATATGTCTCGATCTCGTGTCTCTATATCCGAGTCAAATGGTATGCCAAAGCATCAGAAGTCGGCTTCTCGATCTTCACGACACTCTCGAGTTCCATCAGTATCTATGAGCAGCACAACCGGCCGCATTACCCCATCTGCAGGACGACAACCTACTTCGAATGGCCTCCCCAAGTCAAGTTCCCTATACCAAATCCGAGGACTGATCGGGAAGATGCAAAAGCTAGAGGAGCGTGTCCAGTCTGCACGATCACGACTACCAGCACCGGTGGATACGCCACCCCGAGCATCTCCTCGCACCGGCTCTGCCATGGGCGGCCCAGCATACAACATGCCCTCATCTGTAACGGTCCGCAGCAATAGGAAGCGATCAAGCGGTAGTGTGGCCAGCAGCTCAAAGGACAATAACGAGATGCCGCACACACCGGTGACCCCTGGGGCCCGAATTTCCCAAGGACGAGGCTCGTTTGGACTTCCAGCACCATCTCAGTCAACACTATCGCGACCAGAAAGTCGCACCAGTATGTCATCGCGCTGTTCCGTCAGTAACATGACCTCGTCAAGCAGCATCGCTCAGCCGCGCTCTGAGTCTCGCCAAAGCTTAAACAGCCAGAATCTAAATGGCTCGCGCACGCCAGGACACTATACCAGCAACTCGCTGAACATGAGTATGGCCAACATGTCCGACAACCACCACCACCATAGCCATAACCATAATCATAGCCATCAGCATCACCCATCAGTTAGCAGCACTAGTAGCGGCGGCGGCCTTCGACGCCCTCGTTCATCACTAAGCAACTACAACCCATCCGCCAGTATGTCGTATATCGACGAAGATAACGCTGAGATGGACCTGAGTATGCACACGCCCACACCACGACGCTACGATAGCGTCGGATCTGGCAGCTCCATCCCAACTCCCGCAGCGCTGAGACGAACTAGCGGCGGGATGTCTTCTATACCAACACCAGCCGGCCTGACGCCTCGACGGACCAGCTCGGCCATCGGAAGGAGAGAAGGCGATATGGCTCCGCCGTCAGCTGGCAGAAAGAAGGCGAGCATGACCCCTCGACCGTCTTCGTCTCTCGGTAGCCTCGGCGAGACATATTAACCAACCAAGCCCTTGAATTTAATGAATATACAACAAACAACAACAACACCAACCTTTATGCCACTACCTTCTCTTTGAATCTATCTATTCTTATATCTTACCCTGCATACATAATTCTCCTTCCACGCCAGTCTCGCCATCTACCCGCGGGAAATAATACACGGGACCGGACAGTTTCTATGCTCAGCCTTATCCAAAACCCGAAACCCGAGACCCGACCAAGCAACATGAACTAACTTGATTCTACCATCTACTTCCTTCCTAATCACTAGTATTACTAGCCATCATTCTTTTCAAGCATTACTCCGTACCATCTAGATACATAATGACGCATGTGTTTTCATTCTTTTGTTCATGCCCCCTATACCCTATTATTGTTTCCGACCATGTATGTAGCCACAAGAGAAACCTAACTTCTCGGAGCATTAAATACTCACCACCACCGTCTACTCTACCGCCTGCATCTGCGTCTCTCTTCTACTTTGTCTCTCCTTGCAACATCCATTACCAGCCACCTTCACGACGAGTACCGCCTATTGTCTTATATTATCTCCTTTTAATCTCCGTCGTTTTAAGATTTTCAGCCTCGGCTTCTGCCTCCGAGCCTTACCTAAGCCTTGCTTAGTCAGTCACTCTAACCGGATTAGCGTCGTTTTCTGTTGGGGGAAAACTCAGGCCCGGTTGAGACGACGCGAGCGAGCTGGAAAGCCGCAGGACAGACAGACCGCATGCATAGACGGAGGATCTGGATGTTTAGGTAGATAGTAGACAGGCAGGCAGCCCTGACTGGAAAAGAACCAGCTTTATCGATGTTCTGCTGGCAGAGATATTGAACGTCGCAGTTTTGCGGACACTTTCAGCGCGTGCTCAACATCGAAACAAAAAGCTCCTTTTGCGGGTGGATAGTAAGGCGGGTAACGGCTCTTACGGTAAGTTACACGCTTACAGTGTGGGTTTAGTGTGGGGGCGGAAGGTTCGTGACGCCCGCGATACGCCATCAATACCGCGAGGAGCTCGAGGCTCGACCGATCGGGAAATAAGAACAGCAACTTTTCTTCTCCATCAACTTCAACTTCGTTTCTTCCTCTCCCCAGCTCTACATTTCTCCCTCCTCCTCTTTTTCTTCTGCCTCTTCTGCTTCTTCTCCCTGTCTTTGTCTGCTGCGTAGAACCGCATTCTTCCTTCTATCTAATTCTCCTCTTCTTCTTACGCTCCCTCGTCCCGCAGAACCATTGATAGCTGCGTCATTCAAGCTAGCGATATACGACACACGGACAGACAGCAGACGGGCAGTCGGTCGTCGGCACACACATAAATACAGATACATATAGAGCATTGACAGCATCAGCTCTGCCTAAAGTGGCTCTGCAAATCGTTGAGAGACGCGAGATACCTGACAGGCTCCGAGTCCGATTGTGAAAACCCTCCGAATCCCCTATAGAAGTCAGCTCGTGGCCGCCGGATTCCCTTTGCCCACACGAGCAAACCACCATGCCTGAAAGCAATTCTACGGCCATTAATGGCTATGGCAGCGCCTATGCTGCCAAACACAATCTCCCCTCACATTTTATCGGTGGAAATCGGTTGGACCTAGCTCCTCCAGGTGCAGTCAAGGACTTTGTGGCTAAGAATGACGGTCATTCCGTTATTACATCGGTACGCTAAAATTGCTGCTATACCAATTGATTTACAAGAGCATAGATTAACAATTGTGCAGGTTTTGATCGCAAATAACGGTATCGCGGCCGTCAAGGAGATCCGATCGGTGAGAAAATGGGCCTACGAGACCTTTGGCGATGAGCGGGCGATCCAGTTCACCGTCATGGCAACCCCGGAGGACCTGAGGGCGAATGCAGACTATATTCGTATGGCAGATCAATACGTAGAAGTGGGTGGCTCGATTCTCATTCACAATGGCACAGCGGGGTAGCTAACTCAGGATAGGTCCCTGGTGGAACTAATAATAATAATTACGCAAACGTTGAGCTGATCGTCGACGTTGCGGAACGAACGGGTGTGCATGCAGTTTGGGCTGGATGGTAGGTGTTTTACGCATTCACTGAAACTACTTTGCAACTACCTTGTATACGGGATCATTTAACTAACGATGGCCGGCAGGGGACATGCGTCTGAAAACCCCAAGCTCCCTGAATCCCTCGCCGCTTCACCCAAAAAGATCATCTTCATTGGCCCCCCTGGTAACGCAATGCGCTCTCTCGGAGATAAGATCTCTTCTACGATAGTTGCTCAGCACGCGGGGGTTCCCTGCATTCCGTGGTCGGGCACGGGCGTAGATGAGGTTAAAATCGATGAGGAAGGCATCGTTACTGTGGAGGACACTGTTTATGATCAAGGATGCACCCACTCTCCTGAGGAAGGTCTCAAGAAGGCTCGAGAGATTGGCTTTCCAGTTATGGTTAAGGCCTCCGAGGGTGGTGGTGGTAAGGGTATCCGCAAGGTCGATAGCGAGGAGAACTTTGAGGCCCTCTACAATGCCGCTGCTAGCGAAATTCCTGGGTCTCCTATCTTCATCATGAAGCTTGCTGGAAATGCTAGACATCTGGAAGTCCAGCTTCTCGCTGATCAGTACGGCAACAACATCTCACTCTTCGGCCGTGACTGTTCCGTCCAGCGAAGACACCAGAAAATTATCGAGGAAGCTCCTGTTACCGTTGCTAAGCAGACTACCTTCCAGGAGATGGAGAAGGCCGCAGTTCGTCTCGGTCGTCTCGTTGGTTACGTTTCTGCTGGTACCGTGGAATATCTCTATTCTCATGCCGATGACAAGTTTTACTTCCTTGAGCTCAACCCTCGTTTGCAAGTCGAGCATCCTACCACTGAGATGGTCACTGGTGTCAACCTCCCAGCCGCTCAGCTGCAGATTGCCATGGGTCTCCCTCTTCACCGCATCCGTGACATTCGTCTCCTTTATGGCGTGGATCCCAATACCTCCTCTCCTATCGACTTCGGCTTCTCAAACGAGGAGAGCACTATGGTCCAGCGTCGTCCTCAACCAAAGGGCCACACCACTGCTTGCCGAATCACCTCCGAAGACCCAGGTGAAGGTTTCAAACCCTCTAGCGGTACTATGCACGAGCTGAACTTCCGAAGTTCCTCCAACGTTTGGGGTTACTTCTCTGTGGGCACCGCGGGCGGTATCCACAGCTTCTCTGATTCCCAGTTTGGTCACATCTTCGCGTACGGAGAGAACCGCTCTGCTTCCAGAAAACACATGGTTGTTGCACTCAAGGAACTGAGCATTCGTGGTGACTTTAGGACCACTGTTGAGTACCTCATTAAACTGCTTGAAACCCCTGCTTTCGAGGACAACACCATTACTACTGGATGGCTGGATGAGCTTATTACCAAGAAGCTCACTGCTGAGCGGCCTGATCCTATGGTTGCCGTAATCTGCGGTGCCATGACCAAGGCTCATCTCGCCAGTGAAGCCTGCGAGTCTGAATACCGCAAGGGTATTGAAAAGGGCCAGGTGCCCGCCAAAGACGTTCTGAGCACCGTGTTCCCAATTGACTTCATCTATGAAGGTTCGCGCTACAAGTTTACGGCCACCCGCTCTAGCATCGATAGCTACCACCTCTATATCAATGGCAGCAAGTGTACAGTTGGTGTTCGGGCTCTGGCTGACGGTGGTCTTCTTATTCTTCTTGACGGGCGAAGCCACAATGTTTACTGGAAGGAAGAAGCTGCGGCCACCCGTCTATCTGTTGATGGGAAGACCTGTCTCCTTGAGCAAGAAAATGACCCTACGCAGCTCCGAACACCTAGTCCTGGTAAGCTGGTTAAGTTCACCGTCGAGAACGGTGAGCATATCCGTGCTGGTGAGGCTTTCGCCGAAGTCGAGGTCATGAAGATGTACATGCCTTTGATCGCCCAGGAGGATGGTGTCGTCCAATTCATCAAGCAGCCCGGAGCCACCCTTGAAGCCGGTGATATTCTGGGTATCCTTGCGCTTGATGACCCATCCCGAGTTAAGCATGCCTCTCCATTCACGGGCCAGCTACCTGAGCTTGGGCCACCACAGGTACTCGGGAACAAGCCCCCACAGCGCTTCATGGTTCTCCTCAAGATTCTCCAGGACATCCTTCTCGGATACGATAACCAGGTTATCATGGGGAGCACCTTGAACGAACTTGTTCAGGTCTTGCGTAACCCTGAACTTCCCTATGGTGAATGGAACGCCTATGCCTCTGCTTTGCACTCTCGTATGCCCCAGAAACTTGATGCTCAGATGACTCAGGTCATTGACCGTGCAAAGGCTCGCAAAGCAGATTTCCCAGCTGCCCAGCTTCTCAAGACTGTCACCCGTTTTATCGATGAGAACGTCAAGGCCGCAGCTGATGCCGAAGCTCTGCGAACCACCATTGCTCCGCTTCTTCAGATCATTGAGCGATACAAGGACGGACTCAAGGTCCAGGAGTACAAGATCATTGTCTCCCTCCTCGAGCAATACTGGGAAGTTGAGCGTCTGTTCGCTCAGGGAAACACCCGTGATGAGAGTGTCATCTTGAAACTCCGTGATGAGAACAAGGATGATATCTCAAAGGTAATCCAGATCGTCCTCTCGCATAGCAAGATAGGATCCAAGAACAATCTCATCCTCGCAATCCTTGACATGTACCGTCCTAACAAGCCGAATGTCGGCAATGTTGCAAACTACCTCAAAGCTATCCTTCGTAAGTTGGCTGAGCTTGAGTCTCGCGCTACTGCCAAGGTTGCTCTCAAGGCTCGTGAGGTGCTTATTCAGTGTGCCCTGCCATCTCTCGAGGAGCGAGTTGCTCAGATGGAGCACATCTTGCGTTCATCCGTGATCGAATCCAAATATGGTGAGACTGGCTGGGATCACAGAGAACCTGACCTCAATGTTCTCAAGGAAGTCGTCGATTCCAAGTATACCGTCTTTGATGTTCTGCCTCTCTTCTTCGCCCACAATGATCAATGGGTATCCCTCGCTGCATTGGAAGTTTATGTCCGCCGTGCTTATCGTGCCTACGCTTTGAAGGGTATTGAATATCACAACACTGGCGATGCACCATTTTTTGTCTCCTGGGATTTCATCCTGCGCAAGGTTCCTCACTCTGAATTTGGGTTATCTTCTCAATCAACCACTTCGTCTGTTCCAGGAACACCGATTTCGGAGATGAACCCCTTTAAGAAAATCGGATCAATTAGTGACATGGCCTTCGCCAACAAAGGATCTGACGAGGCGACTAGAAAGGGTGTCTTGATTCCAGTTCACTATCTCGATGAGGCAGAGGAAGTTCTATACAAAGCTCTCAGTGTCTTCCCGCGTTCCACTCCCGCCGCAGCCAAGCCAAAGAAGAGCGGTACCTTGCCTGACCGTAGCAAACCTGCGCCACGCTCTGAATCCGATGAAGAACTCTCCGGTGTTTGCAACGTGGCTATCCGTGACGTTGAAGATTTGGACGACTCTGAGCTGTCTTCGCGTCTCACTGCTCTTGTTAACGATGCAAAGAGTGAATTGCTCGCTCGTGGAATCCGCCGGCTCACTTTTGTTTGCGGTCATGAGGACGGTACTTACCCTGGTTACTTCACTTTCCGTGGTCCTACTTATGCCGAAGACGTGAGTATCCGTCACAGCGAGCCAGCACTTGCTTTCCAGCTTGAACTTGGCCGTCTATCCAAATTCAAGATCAAGCCTGTCTTCACCGAAAATCGTAACTTGCACGTTTATGAGGCTATCGGCAAGGGACCAGAACTCAGTGACAATGCCGTTGACAAGCGCTACTTCACCCGTGCCGTCGTCCGCCCTGGCAGACTACGTGATGACATTCCCACCGCGGAATATCTCATTTCTGAAGCCGACAACTTGATGACTGATATTCTTGACGCCCTTGAGATCATTGGCAACAATAACTCTGATCTCAATCATATCTTTATCAACTTCACTCCCGTCTTCCCCTTGCAACCAGTTGATGTTGAGAAAGCCCTCGCTGGTTTCCTTGAACGTTTCGGTCGTCGTCTCTGGCGTCTACGTGTCACTGGTGCCGAAATCCGTATCCTTTGCACCGACCCAGCTACCGGCACACCTTACCCACTCCGAGTTGTTATCACCAACACTTCAGGCTATATCATCCAGGTTGAACTTTACGTGGAGCGTAAATCTGAAAAAGGCGAATGGATTTTCCATTCTATCGGCGGCACTACCAAGATTGGATCCATGCACTTACGTCCTGTCTCTACCCCTTATCCTACCAAAGAGTGGCTGCAGCCCAAGCGTTACAAGGCCCATCTGATGGGTACTCAATACGTGTACGATTTCCCAGAGCTGTTCCGTCAGGCTTTCCAGAACAGCTGGACTACTGCCATTGCCGCCCATCCCGCTTTGGCTGAGAAGAGACCTGCGCTTGGAACCTGCATCGAATATTCTGAACTCGTTCTTGATGACAGGGACAACCTCGCTGAAGTTTCTCGTGAACCAGGCACTAACACCCACGGAATGGTCGGCTGGTTGATCACTGCTAAGACCCCAGAATATCCTCGTGGACGACGGTTTATTGTCGTTGCCAACGATATCACTTACCAGATTGGCTCTTTCGGACCACAAGAGGATAAATTTTTCTACCAATGTACAGAATTGGCTAGAAAGCTGGGCATTCCTAGAATCTATCTTTCTGCTAACTCTGGTGCACGTATCGGCATGGCTGATGAGCTCATGTCTCAGTTCAATGTTGCTTGGAACAACCCCGACAAACCAGAGAACGGATTCAAGTATCTCTACCTCACCCCAGAGGTTGAGAAGCGTCTCGAGAAGGAAAAGAAGAAGGATCTGATCACCGAGTTGATTACCGAGGATGGTGAAGAGCGCTACAAGATCACCACTATCATTGGAGCTAAGGACGGTCTTGGTGTTGAATGTCTCCGAGGTTCGGGGTTGATTGCCGGTGCCACATCCAAGGCATACGAGGACATCTTTACTATCACTCTTGTTACCTGTCGTTCCGTTGGAATCGGTGCATACCTCGTTCGCCTAGGCCATCGTGCCATCCAGGTTGAGGGTCAACCCATCATCCTTACTGGTGCGCCAGCTATAAACAAACTCCTTGGCCGTGAAGTATATACCTCCAACTTGCAACTTGGGGGTACCCAAATCATGTACAAGAACGGTGTCTCGCACATGACTGCTAACGATGACTTTGCTGGTATCACCAAAATTGTGGAGTGGATGTCCTTCGTCCCTGAGAAGAAGGGCGCTCCAATCCCGATCCGCCCTTCCTCTGACCCCTGGAACCGAGACATTACTTATTGCCCTCCACCCAGGCAGCCCTATGATGTCCGTTGGATCATTGGGGGCAAGGAAGATGATGAAGGATTCTTGTCTGGTCTATTCGACAAGGGCTCCTTCGAAGAAGCTCTCGGTGGCTGGGCTAGAACCGTCGTTGTCGGCCGTGCTAGACTCGGTGGTATCCCTATGGGTGTTATTGCTGTCGAAACTCGATCTGTCGACTGTGTCACCCCTGCCGACCCCGCCAACCCTGATTCTATGGAAGTTCTGTCCACAGAAGCTGGAGGGGTCTGGTACCCTAACTCTGCATTCAAGACTGCGCAAGCCCTCAAGGACTTTAACAACGGTGAGCAGCTACCTGTCATGATCCTCGCTAACTGGCGTGGTTTCTCCGGTGGCCAACGTGACATGTACAACGAGGTTCTTAAATACGGTTCCTACATCGTCGATGCCCTTGTTAAGTACGAGCAGCCAATCTTCGTCTATATTCCACCACACGGTGAACTCCGTGGTGGTTCTTGGGTCGTTATTGACCCAACTATCAACCCCGATCAGATGGAGATGTATGCCGACGTTGAGGCCCGTGGTGGTATTCTCGAGCCTGAAGGTATCGTCAACATCAAATACCGCAGAGATAAACAGCTTGATACCATGGCCCGCCTGGATCCCGAATATGGTGCTCTCCGTGAATCTCTCAAGGACAAGTCTCATAGCCCAGAGAAACTTTCTGAAATCAAGGCCCAGATGACCGAGCGTGAAGAGAGGCTCCTCCCTGTCTACATGCAGATCGCCCTGCAATTCGCTGACCTTCATGACCGCGCCGGCCGTATGGAAGCCAAGGGTACTATCCGACAACCGCTCGAATGGAAGAACGCACGTCGCTTCTTCTACTGGCGTCTCCGCCGTCGTCTAAGTGAAGAAATTATCCTTAAGCGCATGGCCGCGGCGACTGTTTCTTCCGCCACTAGCTCTCAAGCCTCATCCTCCCCTCCCTCATCTCCCATCCCAACTCACTCTGACGCTCCCCCCCAAATTAATACATCAAGCATCACCACCCCGCGCACCCAGCGTGACGAGAACCTTGACAAACTCAAGGCCTGGACTGGAATCTCTGACGATGAATTCGAGTCTAACGATCGTGAGGTCGCCATCTGGTACGAAGAAAACAAGAAGAACGTCTACGAGAAGATCGAGGCTCTCAAGACCGACGGAATTGCTGCAGAGGTTGCGTCTTTGCTCATGGGCAACAAAGAAGGCGGTCTACGGGGTGTACAAAAAGTCCTCAGCATGCTTCCTGACAATGAGAAGGCTGCTGTACTGAAATACTTGGGTTCATCTTAATTTCAATGTCGACCCAGACCCCGAGGTGAAACGCCTATCCTTCCTGCACCTTCCGATGTACTTGATTATTTTGCATCTCTGCATTGCGTATCCGTGTTTGAATTCTTTTTTTCCCCCCACCCGTTGATGTTTGCATCTGTATATTCTGTTCTTTTTGGTCCCGATTAATGGTTTACGTTAACATGAGATGAAGTGTGGAGTTCATGAGTCTAGATAGTTATATACTTCTTTTAATACAATATTTAGAGCAACACACCAGCTTTTAAATGTCTTGTAATCAATTCCTCTGCAACTATTAGTCCACAACATACTCCCGTTGCTCCTGGGTTTCTCTAGGGTTTTGAATACAATTCCATGCAAGGTATTAACGGCCAATGAACTGTTACTATTCTGTAAATGACAAAGGGTATATTGGGAGTTTATGTAAACAGCTAAATTCATACATATATTCAAGCGATCTGCCGCTCCATACGAGCGTGTTGCATGAGGGGGGTGCTAGCCCTATAAGTCCCAGAAACATCTTTCTTCTTCACGCCCCCTACTCTAGTGTTATTACGGGGTGTTTGTTCTAGATCAAGGGTGAGTTTCTGCAAATCAACTGGAAGATGCTCAGCTATCACTGGGTTCGGCGAAACAGGTTTTGTTGCATGAACGGAAAACATTGGAGGAGGAATTCCCTGCAAAGGTGGCGGCGGCGAGCTATCACGATAGCATATCTCTTCATCGCCATCGGGAAGCTTCACGCTGTACGCGCAAAGAGTACGAGCAATGTCGTTCAGAAGAATCTCCATTGGCGCAATGTAGGCACTTCGACTCCTTTCGGACCATGCAAGGACATGGCCACACACTTGGCCTTTGTCGTTGAACACCCAAGCACCGGAATCCCCAGGAACTACGACAGACATTAATATTTATTTTTCGGAAAGGTAAACAGAAACAATCATACCTCCAAAGTTGCCATCGACGCTAAAGCTGGTCGAAAATGATTGACGGCCGTACATTTTTACTAGGGTTAGGGCCTTAGAAATCTTTCCACTCTGGAAACCGCTCGTTCGACCGCAGCATTGTACATTGAGGCCACCTAGGTCATCAAATTTGGCAATTTTTGTGAGAGTCTGGAATGAGCCTGAGTTGCCTTGTGGTTGTCGGCGATTAGGCTTTGAAGTATTTGGCTGAGGTGACGAAACTGGGACCAGGTTTTTCACCTCCATTCTGTTCAGATCGACCTTGATAAGCGCCCAATCCACCTCGTGTTTGATGCCATCTTTAGTCCACCTTCGAACTCCGGAGGAAGCATGGACAAAACCTAGGGAATGGGATGCAAGGTGCTCATCGTCCCTGTCTTCTGGGCTGGGGAAGAAGTCTTCATGTACATCATCGAGGGCAGGTTGTGTCACCATTATCCGAGGGTTTTCACCTGGATCAACACCTACAGTATCACCAATCGAGGCTGTATCATCATCATCAAAGCCACCATAATCGTCCCCTTCATCACTAGAGTAGCCATCGGAGAGCCAGTGATCATCGAAGCTTTCATCGAGGCTATGTGCTATGGACTGGTCATCATCACAGTCCTCGTCATCAGAGAATTCTAATGGATAACCATCTTCGTGAATGTTGGGCTCACCCCAAGAGAACGAGGGGCCTTGATTAGCATCATCAGATCCGTGTAAATAGTTTGCCGATGAGCGTGGAGGGCAATCCCCACCATCATAGTCGTAATCGTCTTCATAATTGTCATCATCGTCACAGGGTGTATCAAGCATATGGTGAACCGTCATCCCATAGGGTATTCCGTCCACGAGTATCGCACCGCCGTATGAAACTGGTGGCAAATGTTCACCGTAACGAAAGGCGCCAATGGAAGCGCCGCATATTGGTTTGGTCTGGTAATGGGAATTGAAGTCAGGATTCGAGATTTCTGGGGAAATGATGGCCTTATTTGACTTTGGTTTCCGGCGCTTCTTTCGTGGGACTTTTGATCGTTTGATATCTCCACGAATAACAATGAGATTCCAGTTTTCCCGGTCGTACTCAAAGTACTTCTTTAATGCTGCTCGGACCTTTCTGACATTGGTACAAGTAACACAGATGGTGGTCTTAGCTGTATCTGCGGTTTCACCGGCAACCAGCAGGGTTGCGCTGCAAGATTCTGGTGAATCTTTCAGAATTTTTTGTAAAAGCTTGCTTATTTTCGGCATCAAAGTCTTATTCCAAGCTTGTAAGTGTTCTTCAGGTATTTCCACATTCGACCACTTCTTCATGGAACGTTTCCGCCCTTTCTTCTCATTCACTTCACACATTTCACTAATGCCCTTCATGTCCGGATTAGCAGAAATGTCATAAGGGATATCGATGGAGACGGTGGGCTCTACAATATGAAGATCTCTTTCATTTAGAGGTATTTTTTGAAACGACGATAAGCCCGGCTCAAGCCCCAATGGGGGTGGGAGAGAGTCTTCCAGGTCAGATGCTGGAGGGGGGGAAAAAACATCAATGCCGCAGCATCTCCAAAGGATTTTGCCAATTGTATAAACAAAATTTTTCGAGAATGTGTTCCAATCGTTCGAATTGCCCGGGTCATGCCAGGGATAGTGATATGTCTGCGGTATTCTGAGGCCTAAATCTGCCATGGGCTCTGTCGACAGATGGAAGTTGGGAGCGTCAAGACAGAGCTGAACAACTTGCATATAGGCACCGCCGCATTTAGCTGCTAGTTTCTTGACGTAAACATTTTCAATTCTGGATTTGAACATGGAGTTGTTGTATTTCAGCTTCCACAACCTTCCAATAGGGGTCCAAAGTCCAATCTCTAGTAGCACCAGGCCCAGACTGTATAGGTCATACGCCCAGGCCGATTTATCGGAATAGTCCCTTCTGTCATCTGGATGGCGGTACATACTCGATGATAAGGGTTCTGGCGGCGCATTCTTATCTTCACTGTCAAACTGGCTAAATGAGGTAAAGTAAGGTCGCCTATAGTCCAAGCTCTCGTTGCTAATGGACCCATTGTTGGATAGGTGGACTCCTGGAAATATTATAATATTATTGCTGTTTATGCTGCCGTGGACTAGGTTCTGGCTGCGTAGATGAAGAACAGACAACAGCAGATTGTAAGCCAAGGCCAATCGATCTTCAAGATTTGGAACAGGACCCTCCTGCTTATCATCGCCGTTATGCAGCAAGGAAACCAATGGTTTTGGCTGAGTCGTATCAGAAGGCTGCTTTAAGAATGGGAAGGTATCGATAGGTGTATGGTAGACGAAACCATATCGGGAGTAAGTCATGTCAATATAATAACCTAGAAATCTCAGCAAACCGAGGTGGGAGACCCTTGAATTCTCAATCAAACGATCAAGTGTTTGACCGATGGATTTTAAACGTTGTTTTAATGGCCGGGCAAGATATTGTTGAGCCTCCATCAGGATTGGTAAAAATTCGACCATCACGGGGATAGACATACTTGTACAGCCTCGAGCCATACAAGATGGAATTGCTTCCCTGTTTATAAATCCCATTGCTCTAGAGCTGGTCGAGGCAGCAATTGCTTCGTAGGGAGGAGGGGTGGTCGCATGTGAAACATGCTCTTTAGAGAGGCTCAAAGCGTTGCGATCAAGGAAAAATTCCCCATTTTCCTCAGTATGTAATGGTAGCTGTTGAAATGACGCATTCTCAATAGTCATACTAGGATCAATATGCATGCTTACGAAAGGGTTGACCGCAGAAATGTCATTAGTAGCCACGGTTGGCTCTAGATGATGCGTTGTTTTGCTGGGGGCAGATTTCGAAGTTGGCAATTTTGGGCGAAGAGACTCTTTTGTTTCTTTGGACTGTTTTGACAGGCCTCGATGGTGACTGTACTTCTCACTTTGGGGAGTACCTGAGCTTATGCCCATACTCATGTCCCTCCTTGATGCTGACAAGTCATAAAGGGTATCAATATGGGATGTTAACTCTTCCAACAGTACTTTAGACCGGGATATCTCTGCTTCTGTCCAAGTTGTCTTCACACCACCAGTTGTGCCCGTGGTGTAGTTCCCATCTGCAGCCTTGCCCGCTATTCCATCCGGTGATATAGTCGCAGGATTAGGATGCTGTAGTCGTTCTGCTTCGTTGAGAAGCTTTTGGATAGATGACATAACGCTTGCAACCACGTCGCTAAATCCAGCTTCGGTCAGGGCCTCGTCAATATCATTCGGCTGCGCTGCGCTGGCATCACTCCAATCTAGGCCCCACGCAAGCAGCCTATCCTTTTGAGTGCGGAAATGACGGTTAAGAGATACAAGTTCAGGGTCATCATTCGGTCTGGCAGCTGTTGTTACGCTTTCACAGGATGATTTCGTGTCGGTATACAGTTTCGTCAGCCGACGCTGCAGAAAGGCGCTTCCATGCCTGAGGACCGACATAATGTCGGAATTAGCGCTAGAGCGCTCAGTTCTGAAAGTGAAGTGAAATGTCCGTAGAGCAGGAAGTATAGCAGTGCTGTGGGTGGTTTATGGTGATATATATCTGCCTTAAATCGTCAGAATAGCAGTCGTTCTCTTGTGAGGCTGTGCCTATGTCGGGGATGTCAAGGGTTGTCGTCTAAATATATCGTCAAAGCCCCAGAACATTGCTGCCTGGTACCGACCAATCACAAGGTAGAGATTTATGCAGCCTAAATTCCCGCCGGGCCGGGTGAACTTTCCATAAACGGATAAGCCGCGGGTCAGCCTCATCACGTGCATGACCCGGAGATTAAGCTTAAAGCACGTGCGTTCTGCTCCCGCTTGGGCCATTAAGGGGGTTCCATGAGAAATGTTGGCCTGCTATGACTACCGTTTATATATTCCGCGCTAAATGATGAATATTAAGAGTATATCTCTTTATATTTCATATTTATTAATATTAACTCTACCAGATATATATCTTCGGCTCAAGAGAACACCTGTTTACACCCGTTCGGGCAATTAACGGGAGATGATATCATTGCATTCGCATATCGATTGAGCCAAATACGGAGTACATAGTTATAACTACAGGAAAATATAAGCACTCAGCAGGTGTTACAGTTAGGCTAGTAGTTGAAGATTTTGTCTGGGGCGTTAAGATGGAAGAAGGAGAAAAACTCTATACTCCGTACCTATTAGGTAGTCAACAGCGTGTGATGGAACTGGTCTCCTCACTTATTCCAGGTCAAAGCCATGATATCAGGATGTATAATTTTATAGCCTCTTCGTTTAAAAAAGGAACTTCGCTTGTTCTATACACGTCTTCAGACACAACTTCGTTGGAATAAAGACGCATCGGCCAGATATCATACAGCAGCAGCCAAAGAAGCCCAGAAAGTAGCTAAATGTCACAAGACAAAGTAGCAGATTCGAATGCTAACATGTGGTTTTTTGGCGACAAGTGTTTGCAACTCAATGTCGATTAAGAGAAGGAAAACAAACCAGAGAGACGCAGAGCCGCAAGCAGGATAAACTTTATGTAAAGCTTATTCGCCATGAATACGTTAAATTTAGAATTAAGACACTAAAAGTTGATTGGCCAGTTAAGATCCAACGCGATCCGAATAGAATCCCCAAGCCAGACACCTGAAAAAGCAGAAAGAAAATACCAACGCTGTCTGTAATTGCTGAACCGGAAATAGTACTATTTATACATATAAAAATCGCGATGTTCACGAAGTAATCATCCTCCTAGCCGGACCAACATTCCTTGCACGTTTTTCGCCGAGATTGTGAAGCCGCTCCCCGATCATATATACATCGTCTCTAATACTAACCCGCCAAACACCAATCTGTCGTTGAAGCAAATGTAATCCCCAGAGAAGAAGGATCAATACCAAAAACGCAGGGTAGGAGTATCGATAGACCTGAGAGTGGAATGTTGAAGACGATTCAGAGAATAAGGTGGAGTTTAGGATATAGCCGATGGGGAGTGGACAGACTGTAGCAACAAATACAGCGAGGGACAGAGGGATGAAAAAGACCCTTGTTGCTAGCCATATGTCAGGATTGGTCCAGCCGTCCCGAACGATACCACGCAGCGCCATGGCCGGTAGAGACATAGGTTTTCTGAGCAGGAATCGAACTGCCATCCGGGCGTATAGGATTCCCAGAGTCCAGTCCTGCACGAAGTAGATAACGTGGGTTTCTGATGGACTTAGGTAAGTGTGAAGTGGTATTAACAGGTAAAACTCCGTGATTAAGGCAAAAACGGAGGGGAGGAACAGTGCAGCTGCAGCGGCTAGGTAAATCACCCGAAGACCGCGAAGCGCCAGGCAGTAAGTTTTGTAAAGTAGTTGTTTCGGTGATCTCGTGTACGGCTGGATACCTTCACGGAAGGTGTCCGATATTTTGTTGAAGTGTAGGTATGCATAATATACCGTTCCAATAGCGTATACTCCGGCTGATAGCGCGTATATGTCGTTGACACGAATATGAGGTGGGAACATGCACGACAGCATTCGACGCCCAAGTATGAGTGGTATTATTGTAATTCCAACACCCGTGACCGCAGCAAAGACCCATAGCAGTAGTAGGAAGGCGAAGATCCTGGCTCTGAAATTGGGTGGGACATAAACTGGAGAGTACATCGCGTTCTTCTTCCCATGGCGGCCCTCGTCGTTGTCTGGCTTTCCATCTATACGTTCATTGTTCTCATTGATTTCAACGAATACCTGTTCACCCTTGGGTATCCTCACTTGGTCAGATGCCGGTGCTCGAACGAATCTTCCATTACGGAGGAAACGCCTAGGTTGGGGCTTTTGTTTTGTAAATATGCTGAGGATAGAGTCCCGCCATGAAAGGTGTTCATAATATCCCTCTTCATCAGGCTTTCTCTCACCAAAGAGGAAATGTGTAAGTCTAAGCATTCGCGCGCATTCATGGAACCACCAGTCATAAATCGCATGCAATCCATCCGATGGCTTGATTGCTCGAATGGCGACAGGCATCACAAAGTTGTAAAAGAGAAGGTCTACTGGGAACTCCAAAACCGGTTCATTCGAAGACCAGTATACCGGAAGAATTCCACTGAATGTTAGTGATAAACCCCAAACAACCCCACCTAGACAGATAACAACTAGGGCTCCATATACTAGGGCGCTGAATGCAATCTTTCGAAGTTGGGTAGTAATACTTCGTTCAAGTACATCACGCACTGGATGGAATGTAGGGTCATCTGGATCTCGAATGAAATCTGCTGGGGTTAGTATTATTAAAAATAAAGTAGGAAATGCAAGGGTAGACGATGGCTTACAGAGAACACCGCTGCGCATAATCTTTCGACACATGGAGACAAATAGCGCAAAGTGAAACATATAACAAGTTCCGATAAACCAGTGGACGAAGAGGGAAGTTAACGGTGATTCCAAAGTAAACGCTGCGCGAGAGGCAAACAGGCCGTTTCCAAAGAGAGGTAGTAAAGCAATGTCCAATAAGATGCCGCAATATAATGGGAAAACAATCATTTCAATCCCGATTATAACGATGACCTTCATCACACCACCTGCCTGGCGAAGTATCTCAGCAACTGGGCCATCTCTTCTTTGTCCGTCACGGCGGGTTCCGGATATGATGCCGGATATACGCAGATACGCGATACCAAGAAGGGATGCAAAACAGTATCCCAGGATTATGGCGATAAGTCGATCTTTGGAACTCCATCGACTTAAGTCATAGTTCGAGGAGCTTTGGATAAGAGTATCCGAAGTTGACCAATCTGTTAGCCAGTTTATGATTCCAAAAACCCCACCAGTGTTCTTCACGGCACTCATTGCTAAGCCAGGAACCCGAGGAAGATCGGCGAGAATGAAATTTTTAACTGCCAAGAGAGGATTCTCCGATTGCATTATACTCAAGGGAATATCACGGAGTAGCGCCCTGCCACCCTTGAAAAGTACACTGCCTAGGTAGGAAATCCTGGCTTGATGTAGTTTCAGGGCCTCATGTGATATGGCAGAGAACATGGGGAGATCAGACTCATGGAATGTGAAAACTGCGGTGAGAATTCCCGTCAACCTCTGGCTGCTACCCTCCATCAAGGAGAGAGATGCGAAGGTGATGGAATTAGCTGCGGAGAGCTTCCCGAGACTGGGGATGAACAAGCCGAGTTGGGCTAGAATTGCCCTAACCAAGACGTTCATGAGATAGACCACATATGCAAAGCATCCAAGGATAAGGTCGACGGTGATATCAGCCAGCATAGAGACAGCAGTTAGGGGCACTCGAATAAATAAACCAATAGGATTGACCAGCATCACCAGAGCAATCTTACCCCATAGATAGGGAAGCCAGATTCCAACAGAAACGGTAAAGGATATTAAAAGTGCGCTGAACACTGCATTTTGCAGCAAGCCAAATAATGGCCCATGCATACCGATTAGTTCCATAACGCCTTCAAGGTCATCTACATCTTCAACCGCTTCGGGATCGTTGCCATCCCCAGCGTCGTTGGCAGCACCACGGGCACGATTAGCAGCTTCATTGACATCATTACCACGTCTGTGCCGTTGGTGTTGCCGGATAAGGGCTGGTTGGCGGTCAGCACCACCCTCTGCGTCTTCCGGGTCTGGAAGCACTATCGGAATGGCGCCCCAAAAGAAGTTGAACACTCTGTCCATGAAGTTTCTAGGTGGAGTTATCGGAGTATACAGGAGTTCTTCTCTAGGAGCAGCTGCAGCAGCTTGGGCCAGTGAAGGACTTTCCACTTGCTCTTGTGTGCTACCCTCTGAATTTGGTTCATTCCGTGATCCCTCTTCTGCATTCCAAGTACTAGGAACAATTTCTGGGTTTGGTACATTGTTATTCGGGTCCTCCGGCGGAGAGTCTGGAACCCGAATATCCGAGGTAGGAACTTCCATGTCTTTATCTATGTCTGGCTCATTATGTTCATGAGCCAGAGCATGAGCTTGATTATCATAGGCGTTAGCGGCAGCGGCAGGAACTGTTGGCGGCTGCTGTTGGCTTGGCTCGTCGATTGGTGATGCCTGTTCTCCATTGAAGTCGGGGAACTTCCACTGAGTTATCTGCCCGGTGAATGGGTTGAAAGGAAGTACATTTTCTTGCTCTGTTATAGGTGTTCTAGAGGAAGAGCCTTGATCAGGAGTATCGTCTGCCTTTTCTCTACGATCGCCTGCTCCAAACTCGGGGTAATTGGTCCGACTCCCTTCTAATCGACTTGTAAAATTTGTCTGTGGTTCGTCCCACATACTGGGTCGATTGGAAGCATCGACTGGTATCCGAAACGGCCGGTTGTGGTTGTGAAAATTGCCGCGGAATATTGGTGGTTCCTGTGCGTGAGCATGATGATAGTAAGGAGAATTCTCGGGGAATGGGCCCGCGTAGTTAGGAGCAAAAGGATTATATGTTTGCGCGTCGGGCAAGGCGTTCTCGTCAAACATGCCTCCTCTCTGCAGAGGAGTACTATCAAGTCCGGTTTCAGGTTCATGGCCCGATTCTTCCTGTGGGTGATAAGTCTCGGGGTTTTCGATTTCACCATCGGCTTCTTCTTCTTCTTCTTCCTCTTCCTCCTCCTCCTCCTCTTCTGTTTCTTCCTCTTCATCTGCTTCTTGACGACGTGCCTCTTGCTCCGCGTGCTGCTCCACGACACGATTAAAAAGCTGGCCCAGAGCTTCTCCCTCGCCCTCGGGAATGTTAATTGCGGGTTGCTGCTGGACCACCCACTCTCGAATCAAAAACACCAGGATGAAGGATATCACAACAAGTAGGGTGATAAGCTGTCCTTCTAAGGTATCAATGATGACGTTATTCAAGGTTGGTGAGGAGGTAGCATTGTTTAGAAAGGTAATGTCGGAGAGCCACGATGGCTGCCGTATGCGCTTTATTGGTGGAGCTGCAGATGACTGATTCAAACTGGGGGATTGTGGGGTGGAGAAGGCATTGGAAAGAAAGGTTTTTGCAATGGAGTATATCAAAGGTTCACCGGTGGAAAAATTGAGCATCGAAGGAGCACTCCGAGATGGAGAGTTGGCCTCTAAAATGCCTCCAGTCGCAGCAGACATGCTAGGTACATCCCATGCAAGAGTTGGCGTTGCAGGAGACGTTCCATGAGCAGCTAGCCATGCCACACTTCTGTTGGCTACCGATGAAACAGGTCTCTGCATTGTATCTGGGGCGGGCCATCTTCCATCCGCCAGCCAAAATAGACCCCTCCATATTGTTCTCATCGACCATGGGAGTAACCCGAGCCACACAAAGGCAACCAGGCCGAATCGCAGCCAAGTAAGTATCGCGCGGCAAGCATGTAGAAACAGCTCCTTCAAGAATACTGGCACCGGTAACTCGCTGGGCATATTCGGGTCATAAAGCTTCGTAAATCGAAAAGGGGTCTTGCACAGCTCGCAGTGCTTCTTTTGCGAATGGGAGAGCCACTCCATGAGACAGTTCTGGTGGACGAATTTGATACTCCCGCTGCACTTGCAGGGGTAGAAGAGCTGCTCCTCATCAGTCCCTTCCCCACGGCATATCCGGCATGTGTCTGCTTCTTCTGGACCTCCCGCTCTGTTCCCATGGTTCGTTTCGAAGGCCGGGTCGTTCATGATGTCTGGGGTGGGCGATCGACCTCCGGCGGTATCCATGGGCTCCCAGTCCATTATGCTTTCAGTTATCAGTCGTCTTCGAGTATGATATTGGCTCGCTAGACTGTAACGTCGACCATCGATCACCTCAGTGCTGCGTCACTGCCGACGAAACGGAGCCTGGTGTGAGGTGGCATGAACAATAGCTGCTAGGCCAACGGCGGATTCCAGCTCGAGACGGGGCCTATAATACAGGTTAATATTTGTGCATGAGCAAGGGGAGAGAGACGTCTGGCGCGATGCTTACCAAATAGTGTCTAGCAAGGTAAAAAAAAAAGGTGCTGTGTAGCTCGATATCAAAAAAGAAAAGGTGGATGTTTGTCTTCAAGGTGGTTTCTTCCCATTTTGACTCCCTCGAAGGCGTTGAGAATGACTAAGCGTGTATTATTTACTGTTTCAGATGGTATCGCTGCCATCTGATAAGCTTAAATTACAGTCACGTGGTGTTTAACCCGGATTTACTTTGTTCCGCAGCTACGTCATCCATTCCCAGGTCGCCGCCGCCGCCAAAAGCCCACTGCAAAACTTGTCCTGCAAGCAGCTGAAAAGTTGCCTTTGTCGCCGTCAGCCGCATTTCTTATTCCTCTGCATTCCCACTTGGCGTCATGTTTGCTGCGGCCTTCAGGTACATATTTTACTGTGTAAGCAGCCGACTTGCAGAAAGCCATCGGACAAACTTGCCACTTCGGGCGGCTGAACATGTGATTGTGGATCCGCCAACAAACGGCACGCGCGCTTTAGAGTTTCGCAGGGCAAAAAAAGGTTAAAAAAAAAACCGTGACTTCAACTTGCAGCAAAGCAAAAAAAAAACATAGAGACGGAGATCTTGATTGTGAGATCGGGAAGCGCGCGGGACGAGAGACGAAATACGACAGGGACAGGAGCAGGACGCGATTCGACGCCACCGCCGGTACTTGGACGTGCAGATCTGCTGCCTGCGCCAGCTTTTTGCCTTCATCTTGCAAGGGACGGGAGGTTTATATAGCTGCCTGCGCAGGACACGTCCACATCGAGAACACAGCTAAGGGGCAGACAGCAGCCAGAGACTTCACCGCCAGCAAACGACGAAGGATCTTTTTTCCTACCGAGTACGGCGCGATACATACCTGGCTGGATGAATTAGCCGGCTGCTAGAGTTGTTACTTTCGACCACTTGTGCCACCGCCGCTGATTGGAGGTAGCGTGGCCTCCAAGTTGCAGCCACGATGGATCCGGATAGGCTGGTCAAGGTGGAAGACATGGAAATCGAGGAAGACACATATCTGGATAAGCCAGTTGTAGAAGAGAAATACACGAGAGTGAGGAAGAAGAAGCCATTCCGGCCAGTCAGAGGCACGATAAGCGTGCTCTTACGGTATGTTTACCCTTGTTTACCTTGAGCTCGCTGCCAGGAGCATAAGCGAAAACCAGCCCATTGACACTTCATCTGCAGGCTCTTCGTCTGGTACTCGATCTTTATAGCCTTGTTCCGATGCCCGTCGTCTCTCTCCGAGCTCGATGACGAGTCTCCACGAGTCTGCGAGCCATACATAATCGCAAAAACTCGCCTCGAGCCTTACATATCACCTTACTACCACAAGTACGCCGCAGAACACGTCGAACATATCAAGCCATACGCACAATCAGCCTACAAGACGGCGGAGAAGGTGTACATTCCGACGGCACAGTTCTCGAAAAACATTTATCAGGGCCATGTATCTAGTTACGTGGAGCAGGCTATGAAGCTTGCAAAGTCGCAGTGGAACCAGAAAGTGTCGCCACACACAGACCCTCTGCAGGCGCAGGTTATCGATTACTACACGACATCTATCAGTCCTCGCATCCAGTCGGCGCAGTCGATTGTTATCCCTTACTTCTGGGTAGCTGCTGAATATAGCGTTCACATCAACAACAATTACGTTATCCCAGCATATATTCATGCTCGTCCAGTGATTCACCGGGTTTGTGCGACCATATATGACTTTGTCGTTACAACCATTGCGCCATACATACAGGAGGCATGGTCAGCTGTAGTAGTCTTCCTCGATGGCACTGTTCGACCGCATATCAGGACCCTTTACTCTGAGAACGTGGAGCCGCAGCTTGTGAAAATCGGAGAGAAGCTCGCCAGCTACCGTGAGGGACGAACAATCCAGCAAGTCAATCTGGAAACTGCCAGGTAAGCAATATTTTGAGTTCCGGCTCCGTCCCAATACCCCTTCATTGCTAATGGTTGTCTAGCTCAGTAGTTCACGAGTACACGGCAGCTAAGTCGTCTACGCGCAGCTCCGTTGAATCAAAGGATACACGAGTATCGTCTGTGGCGCCTCCTGCTACTACCAAGCTGACATCTGCTCAGCAAACTGCGCTTGCGCGAGAAAAGATTTCGACCGATCTCAAAGCTTGGAAGGAAAGGACTACAAGCTTAGCCAGTAAAGGGCTTGAACATGTCCGAACACAGGTTCGCCAGGTAGTGGAAGATATTGCACGCCAGGAGAAGCCATCCGGAGAGGACATGCTTGCACGCTTGGAATCTGTCGCCAGTGAACAGCTATATACGTTGACGCAGGATCTATACTCCATCATCCAGGCAATTCCTGAGGAGTATACTCAAGAAGACGAAGATAAGGCCCAAGATGCATTCCTACAGCGGCTAAGGGAATCTAGCCATGCCATTAGGGGAATGGCACATTCCCTTCGTCTCTGGTTCAATAAGTATCAAGAAACGCTCACCGATGCCGTCACCAAGACAATTAACATCACACTGGACGTTCTTGAGAACGCCCGTGAGCTTGGTCTACAGGAAATTGGAATGCGCTGGACAGCTATTGACGGTGTTACGTACACGGATTGGGCAAGTTATTACGAGCTCAAATCGGATCTCGGCGAATGGAAGGATGATATTCGGCAGGCTGGGTTACAGCATGATAGCTTTGTTTTGGCCAAGGATGCTGGGGAGAATATTGTTGCACGGGGTATGGATATTGCACTGGATGCCGCAAGACAACTGGCAGAAATACGCTCGATTGGCAAACTGAAGATCGAGGCTGGAGATACCACCAGACAACTTAACGTCGATCACATCAACGATGAGATGATAGAGAAAAGGAAGAAGTACATGATTACCAGTGTAACATCTACTCCTACCGTTGCGCCCACTCCGCCAGAGATATCTGATGCGTCTGAAATGTTTATTTCCAACGAAACCGAAGCTGGTGAGCCATCAGAGAGCCCTGTGGCAGAGATCCCTGTGGCAGAAAGCCTTGAGGCCGAGGTTGAGACTCCGCCAGGTGAAGAGTATGTCGGTGAACAACCAAAGTCTGCTCTCCTGGAAGAAACTATTTCGTCAGATGAGACTTTGGAGCCCCAGCCGACCCCTGAGGCTCCTGTTATTCTAGAAGAGACTGCAACCGCAGTTATACCCGAGGGATCCTCGCCCGGATTCACATCCATGGTAGAGGAGCCCGCCTCTTCAGACCCTGCGAATTCTGGGAAGTCGGATCAGGATGAGTTTATAGATGTTATTGAAGAGGAGCAATTCCAGGTGCTGGTTGGCCACGAAACGCCAGATGACACCATTCAAGCTGATGAGACTGTATCTTTACCCTCCAGTCTAACCTCATCTACTCCCGAAACCAAAGCCGAAGCTCCAGTCTCTGTGACGCAAGTAGTTGAAGATGCCACTCCAAATGAGCCAGAGGATACCTTGAGTCAAACCACCGAACATACTCAACATACCCCATCTAAATCTCTAGGTGAACCCGTCGATGTCCATGAGATGGTTGGTTCAGCAACAGACAAGATAATCTCACTCGTTGACTCTGCAAAGGCTGGCCTATCAGAAACACCCCTCCCCAAAAACGAAGCCGACACTCTGATGCAAGATGCAAGCACCAAGCTTGGTGATATCGTTTCATCTGTCCAGTCCTCAATCAGCTCTCTCGAAGCCACACCTCCATCTGAATCTTCCGCACCGGAACAACGCCGTGAACACATTAAGGATGAAATTTCCCGGTTGACTGCTGCTCTGGAAGCTGCTCAGGCCGCTTTACTTGAGCTATATCGATCTGACGAGCCAGGACAGCCGCAGGAGCCTGCTTAGAACGAAACCGCTCACGAGTATAATGAAGGTCATTAATACCGGCATAACCTATCTAAATGAGTCTCTTTATTTCCGTGTCTTTCCTTTTTTTTCTTTTTTCTTTGATATTGATGATACGATACCTCTTTTCCTATACCGGCGTGTTTTGTTGTTCCCAGTACACTATACTATGCTATACTATTCTACTTCTACGCAGCCTCAGCTGCACTATCGTTAATCAGGGCGAAATGTATTATTTATGACATGCATGTATTTATCGACTTTTGACTCTAGCTGTATCTTCAGTAATACACGGTATATACCCAGCATCAGTCAAAATATGTATGTATGGCAACAACCATAGGATATTTTGGCACTGTTTGACATAGCACCAGTCAAAGAGTTTACTGGCTGTCTTGCGGAATTACCAATTTACCTGTAGAAGTAGACGTAAGCAAGTGTTCCATATCAGAAATAGGCCATAGACACACAAGGCCTACCGGTACTTGACTCTCTGGCCGCGCTTCTCCAGCTTCTTCTGCCGCTTGCTCTCAGCCTGTCCGGCGCCTTCATCTGCGCCCATGTCCATGCCAGCGGCTCCAGGCAGGCCTGACTTCACGCCCATAAACGTCGTGTAGGCCAGCCAGATGGAATACAGCGGCACAACCACCCACATCCACCACCCGTAGTCTCCGAAGATGCAGGCGGCCCCCATGCAGCCCCAGGTCCAGTATAACACGTCCCAGCAGTACTCCGTCAGGCCGGGCGCATCCAGATCCTCTCCCGGCGACCTCAGCGAGCCGCTGGCCGCATCGTAGCGTGGCCGCCCCAGCCGTTCAAAGTAGAACTCGATCACCAGCGTAGGCGAGGTCAGGAGGAGGTACTTCCACAGCGACGCCGGCCGGCCAAAGACAAAGTGCAGCAGCAGCAGAACGGCATGCAGCGAGGCCGTGGTAATGTGTGTCCGCAGCAGCAGCGACGTATTCCGGGCTGCGAGCGTCTTTGCTGCTTTCTACAGAGCTGTTAGCAACCGGCCAACCGTCGTCTGTCCAGCCATGGGGTGTGTCTTTTTTACCTGTGCCATGGCCTGTATCTCTCTCTCTCTCTCTCTCTGGCCCACGATATAACCGCCCAGCAGCGCAGCTTCACTATCTCAGTCTCCGTCGCAGCCGTTGATATCGTATTTCTCTCGAGTCCCTGCAGCGCTCGTTCGTGGTTCAGCCACTGTTGGTTGCTGTGCTTCAGCCACCGCAGGCAAGGCCTTGTTCGCCGCCAGCACCCGCGTTTGTTATGGACGAACAACAACTGTTTGCCCGTTGAAGTCGATTTATTATCTACAGCCACCAACCGCGCAGCCCGAGATCTCTGCTGCTGTGCTCGACAGACCCGGAGGCAGCAGGGCCTTCACCCGCTCGTCCAGCAGTCTGTCCTTTATCGCCAGCCCACCCTCTTCGGTCGCTCGCTCGCTCTGTCTCGCCGTCCGCTCCTTTTTCCCCCATCGCCCAGGCAACAAAAACACAACCACCAGCGCAAACGCCGCACCGCGCGCCCCGGACGAAAAGACGACGCCGAACAGCCCTCGCTCGCCGTCGACAGAGCGATCTGGCCAGGCCGTGGCTAATGTCAAGAGCGCTCTGCGGCTGCTATGAGTCTTCGGCTGCTGGAGAGCCCCTTGGTCACCAGCGCTGCGTCGTCCCGTTGACGGCACTCACACACCCGCGCAGACACTCTTCGCTGAGCCAGCCAGGAAGAAAACCTGTCAGCGGGTGCGTAAACCGATATACAGCCTCCTAATCAACTCGTTCTACGACCTCGACATACCTACACACCGGGAGTTGGGCGGAAGACGTCCAGCCAGCCAGCTCCCCTCTTGCTCTCTACTACCGCCCTCGAAAAAAACAACTACCCAGCATGGCTCCCTCGGGGCCGCATATCGCCAGCCAGCTACGGCAGCTGATATACTACCATCTCGATAATAACCTGCTTCGAAACGCCCTGTTCCTGGCCGGCCGGCTGCATGCGTTCGAGCCCAGGTCGTCGGAGGCCGCCTACCTGCTCTCGCACTGTCTGCTGCAGTCCGGACAGCCAAAGTACGCCTGGGAGGTCTGTCGGAATGCCGGATCGCGAGGCACACATCTTGGATGTGCCTATGTCTATGCTCAGGCATGTCTTGACCTCGGAAACTATATGGAGGGAATCACTGCCTTGGAGCGAAGCAAACCTCAGTGGACATCGAAGAATAACTGGAGTGAGCAACCATCCCCCTCCCCTCGTCTTAGATATTTACTACTGGTGTCTAACAGGTGGAACAGATAAACATAGTGAAAACAGACGACAACATCTTCCTGACGCAGCTGCGGTTCTTTGTCTCCAGGGCAAGCTATGGCATGCACACAAAGACATACATAAAGCTGTCGACTGCTATGTCGAAGCTCTCAAACTGAACCCTTTCCTGTGGGATGCTTTCCTTGGGCTTTCTGAAACAGGTACGTTAGGTTTGCCTTGCTATTTCATAGCCATAATGGGTGGTTAACAAGTGTAGGTGCAAATGTGAGGGTGCCGAATATCTACAAGATGACACCAGAAATGGTGGCAATGCTCACTCCATCAGCCTCGGAGAGCTCGTTCTCTGAGAAATCTATCGCCAATAGCCAGCCACTACAAGCACAGCCCAGTGCTAATCACAATGTTGATCCCTTTTCGTCGACGAACGGGACTAGCTACGGCAGCTCAGCTCTATGGGAGAAGCTGAATGGCAGCAGTGTCAGTGTGGCATCTGCCGTCCTCCCTGAAGGGCTAGAAACTCCAATCACACAAAGTGATTCAGATGATTTCCGTGTCCGGACCGGTCCTAATACAGGAGACACATACGGAGAGCCACCCTTTGCTCCCGCTCGAAAGTCACGGACAATGCAAGTTCTAGGCGTTGAAAGCTGTGTAGATCCGCCACGGCTAAAATCGAACAGCACTCGATCCAGGTCGAAACCCAAGTCAGCATCAGCTGAGGAACCAGTTTCCAGCAAAGAAACTACATCTTCTCAGCAGAATGCTTCGGCAATGGAGCGCAAAAGAACAGTATCAGGACATATAGCTCCTACGAACACAGCACAGCAACCGGTTGAACCCGGTGCGCCCCAGCGACGAAGCGTTCGTTTGTTCAACCAAATACGGCCGACAAGCAAGTTCTCTACATCTGCAGCCAGTCTGGGAACTCGTGAAGGACGAGAGATAAAAAAAGCAAAGTCTACCAGCTCGAAGAGCCGCAGCACCGCCACAGCTGCTCCTCTGGGACGATCAACAACCTCGTCTCGAAAACACGGAGTCGAATCAACAGAAACTGACAGCAAGGAAAGCCGGTCGAATGGAACCTCGTCAGAGTCTCTTAACGGGCCGTCGAGACCTCAAGTGCCGGATAAGTCCAAGGAGATTGATGCTCTTGCATGGACACTGGATCTCTTTTCAAGGCTGGCGAGCGGGCACGCGGCACTGTGTAGCTACAGGTGCCAGGATGCTCTCCAGATATACAATTCTTTACCGCAAAACCAACGGGAAACACCGTGGGTATTGTCACAGATTGGTCGGGCGTATTACGAACAGGCCTTATACAGTGATGCTGAAAAATACTTCTCCAGGGTGCGAACAATAGCACCATCACAGTTGGAAGGAATGGAGGTGTACTCAACGGTGCTCTGGCACCTGAAGAACGAAGTCGAACTGGCATACCTTGCTCATGAGCTGATGGATACCGATCGCCTGGCACCCGAATCCTGGTGCGCAATTGGAAACTCCTTCTCTCTGCAGTCAGATCATGACCAGGCGTTGAAATGCTTCAGACGAGCAACACAGGTAGATCCTGCGTTCGCTTACGGCTACACTCTCCAGGGACACGAATACATGTCGAACGAGGAATACGACAAGGCCCAGGATGCATACCGCGCCGCCATCAAAGCCAACCCCAGACACTACAGCGCCTGGTACGGTCTCGGCAAGGTCTACGAGCGAATGGGCAAACTCAGGTTCGCCGAACAACATCTCCGCACCGCTTCGAACATAAATCCCGCCAATGTTGTTTTGATATGCAGCATTGGTCTCGTCCTCGAGCGCCAGAATAATCTCAAGGCCGCGCTGTTGCAGTACAGTCGAGCCTCGTCACTTTCACCCCACTCCGTGCTGGCTCGATTACGCAAAGCACGAACGTTACTAAAGCTCAATGAGGTGAATCTCGCTCACGTAGAGCTAAAGGTGCTCAAGGATGTGGCTCCCGACGAGCCAAATGTGCATTATCTGTTGGGCAAGTTATATAAAATGATACAGGATAAGGGCAACGCAATAAAACACTTTACCACCGCCCTGAACTTGGATCCAAAGGTATACTACTTGTTGACCCTTTATTTTTTTACCCTAGACACAACTAACCCTTGAACAGGCCGCTCAATTCATCAAGGAAGCCATGGAGTCCCTTGAAAACCCTGATGACGTTGATGACGACATGACATGATGAATGTTCCCATCATAATCATCTCCTTTCCTCATTTCACACGACACGCCAGCCCTAATCGCCCTTCCATTCGATCCGCCTCACGTGTATTCTTCATTCTTTACTCCTTTCTCCCTACCTATCTACCTACAAGCCAGCATAATAACCAGCTGCCCTCGCCTCATTCAGCCAGCATGATGGGTCTTGGTTCGTTTCTTTCATTTCCTTGGTGTTGGTGTTCCGGTTGGTTTTGTTTTCTTTTAGTCAGGGATAATGCATAACGAGCATAACGCAGTGGTAATAGTATGTGGAGCGAAGCAGAGGATGGTGGGAAAAGAAGACAGACAGACAGACAGACAGGAGGAGCTAAAGGGGGTGAGGAGACGTTGCTTTTCGGTTCCCTGCCGAGCAATTCGAAGCAAGGAAGGGAGTCAGTGTACATTTTGCCACGGATACGTACAAAAGGGACGGACGGTGTGATTGCTTGCTTGCCTGTTTGGGTTGATTGGGTTGGATGTTGCTATATTTCTTCTTGACTCCGACGGTCCTAGGGAATATTCCTTTGTTGCCGCCTTACCTGGAATCGACTGAAGTATTATTACAATTCACTGAACCTGAAAATAATAGAAACCATTTGACTGTCGCCGTGTGTTGATAACCTCTGTTCCCCTTCCACTTCCGCTCCGCCCGCCAAGCCTTCCGCCGGCTCTCCGCTGTGACTTCCACCCCCTAACAGCTACAGTTCCATTATAGATACTCCATACACTCGTAATTGTCTTCTTTTTACTCCGTACAGTTTTACCTGTTGTATATCTAGTCTAGTGCCATACTCTTCCCCGGGTCCAGGCTCTTCAGTGAGACAACTGCTGCAGCTTATCTGATGTGATAGATTATTTCCTGTCTCCTTCACTTCTCTACACCAGTATTAAGACAAGAAAGCCTCAGGCTGCTTCTTCAAACCCAATAGATCTTATAAGCCATTTTATATATCACTATATATCTCCTTGTTTTAGTCTCTTTCTCTTTATAGTGTATATAGATTCATCAGCCGTGTATATAGGCCCTCTGCCCAAAACTCCCATTACCCTCCAACTTCAACATAAAATTAGAAATATCTCCCTCTCTTCAAAGGATTAACCACACTATGAATACGTCCTAGGCATCCCAATAATTGCCATGTAGTTGGCTGATATTGTTGGGGATGTCCCGTTTTTCAACCATCTGCTACCCCTGACCCAGAAAAAAAAAATTATCAAAAATATATCTAAAAAAAACTGCAAAAATACTATCTTCCTGCGCATGTCGTAGAGACAGAACAAAGGAAGCGAAGAACCAATCTACGACTGACCGACCGACCATGGCCATCCTCGCCTACATCTTCTCGGGCCTCACGTCCTACGCTGCCCTGACGCTGGGCCTCTTCGGCCTGTCCATCAAAGTGCCCCGCGCAGGCTTCTTCGCCCGCTGTCTCGCCGCATATGCCTCCCTCTTGTTCTGCGCTGCCTACGGCGTGCTCGCCTCGATATGCCTTCGCATTGCCGGCCGCGGCCAGATCTCACAGTGGACAGTCGCCAGGGCCTTCAAGTGGTCTATGTGGCTGACCACCGGCGTGCATTTCGACATCATCCAGGGCCAGAAATACCTCTCGACTCGGCCCGCGGTGTTTCTCGTAAACCACCAGACGGAGCTCGATGTGCTCCTCCTCGGCGCGGTGTTGCCTCAGTATTCGGCTGTGACGGCAAAGAGGTCCCTTGCGCGCGTGCCGCTGCTGGGCTGGTTCATGACGCTTTCAGGGACGGTGTTTATCGACCGTGCGAACAGGGAGACTGCTTTCAAGGCGTTTGATAATGCTGCGAGCCTGATGAAGTCTAAGGGACAGAGCGTGATTATCTTTCCCGAGGGCACGAGGAGTTATGCGCGGGAACCGACCATGTTGCCGTTCAAGAAGGGAGCATTCCATCTGGCCGTCAAGGCGGAGGCGGATATCGTGCCTATCGTGGCGGAGAATTACTCGCATGTTCTGGATGTGAAAAAGATGCGGTTTACTTCGGGTGCTATCAACGTCAAGGGTGAGATATCATCATGTACTTTTCCTGTTGTATTTGGTATACACTGACAGCAATGGTGTAGTCCTGCCTCCCATTAGCACCAAGGGCCTTACGACCGCGGACGTTGACTCCCTGGTCCAAAACACAAGACAGTCCATGCTTGAGGCCATGGTTGAGATGGACAAGATGCGAAAGATCAAAGATATCGCCAACTCCCAGGCCGAAGAAGCGCCTCGAGCGGCTCGTGCCACTGCCATTGAGATATAAGGCATGAACAACCAACAGTTATTATACCCTTAATCACCACCGACTATTATAACCGGTCTTCCAACACTATGAACACGAATAAACCCGAATATACTTGCCAATACATCAGTGCGTTCCCCTGAAATTCACAGGCATTGAATACCGTTGGTTAACCGAATAATTGCACAGGGCTATGGCTTTTCCATCACCTCGAGCATTGCACCAGGAGTATGGGGTATTTGTATCATTAGAAAAAAAGAAAGATTTTATAGATTATGAATTACGACTCTTGTATCCAGTTCCAAATTTCTTATACCTGCGTCCACTTCAGTCAGCACATTTGCATTCTCCCCTTGCACATGGCCCGACCTCCTTATCAATATCAATAGCCGTAAACTCATCCCATGCATCCGACCCCTGAGCCTGACCGACACAGCCTCCCCTCATAGCAGTGGCAAGTATATACCTCTGCCCGAACGCAACAACCTCCATTCGCACGCCGTCAACCGGCTCTCCCTTCAGCCGTATCTCTATGCCTGACAACGGTTTGCCCCAGACGCCTTCTTCCTCAGGCTCGGGGGGAACAACGTTGGTAAATTCCAGCTTCTGCAACCAAGATGCCAGCAGCCCTTCTCCAATCATCTTGATATAAGCCTCCTTGAGTGCCCAGTACGTGTAGAACATCCGAGTACGGTGCTTTACGGACCTCGCCTGCCCATCTTCTCCACCAGCCTTGATAATCTCCAGCTCACGAGTCGAAAACGCCTCTGTAAAGATGTCAACAAATTCACAAAGGTCCTTGTCCGTACTCGGCGCCAATGACGGGTTTCGTCTCTCCCTCTCATCCGTACAAGTGATATCAACTCCAACCTGAGGTAGTCCCTTCGCACCGCTTGAAGACGGGTCAAGTTTTCTCATACTGTCTGCTTTAGCATCACTGTGGTACATGCATCCCGCCAGCGCTACCATGCTGGCCTGGTGGCTGACGTTGAACTCCAGACGAAGCGGCTCTGTCTCGCGGGTGTTGATATAGCATGGTCTGCAGTGGGGGTTTGGCGTGCGGCTGATGATGACCTGGTTCCAGGGCACTTTGGCAGAGCGATGGATGTACAGATATTTCAGCAGGCAGGATGCCAGAGACATATGCCGGTCTGCTACATGGTAGAAGGCTCTGACCTTCTTCTGCTCGGCTGGCTGCAGCGTGTCGATTAGGGGGAGCAAGGTGGTGGATTCGGTCCAGCGGCTCATGTCGATGTACCATCTTGTCAGGCGAGAGTCGGAGGCCATGTCTATTCGCTTCAGACTTGTTTTTTAACACGGTCTATATCACTTTGGTCGGCGGTCTGCAGGTATGTATATTTGTCCTGGGTCGGCTGGTATAAGTTGGAAGTTGGGCTGCTGAAGGAATTTATTGTGAAAATATGAGGATTTATGCAAGTTTCTTTTTGATAAATTCAGCCTTTTTGGGTATTCATTAGATATTCAAATCTCACTTTTACTCCCGCCAACTTATTAGATCTGATGTCCTGTACTCCGTATACTTCTAAGGTTTCTGTTTACTGACAAAAGGTACTGCAAGTTAAAATATACAAGCATTTGAAATATTCTTGTTGGTCATTAACCCTAAGTTAAAAGCTACGAACAGCTTTAAAGCATAAAACCTAAGAACGTAGCAAGCAGTGAGGAAATGCAGAGTCTCTTCCACATCCCATCTTGCAACAGTTTCACTCCTAGTCCCGGAACAGCAGTCTGGGTCACCGTCTTTGTAGCCGTCGCCGTAGAAGTCTCTGGCTCGTTAGTCGTGCTGGTTGTCAGTGCAAAAGTCGCCCTGTAATAAGTCCTGGGAAAGCTGTAGAAGCGATCAGACGAGAAGCATGCGACTAGACTGTGGATCCCGGTAGCTGCAACATTCTGTGAGTTGAATATGGTGACAGTATCGCATATTTCAGTCCCGCTGGAATGTTCTTATCAGTATCAAGTGCTAGGAGGTATTGTCCGAAATACATGTAACATAAGGCGAGAAGAAATAAAATGATATATATTACCAGTCACCCCGGACACCGTTGGAGTATACACCGATGTTCCCTTCGCATGCCACCAGGGGATTGCAGTAAGGTTCCCCGGTAGGACAGCAGGCCCCAAACCTCGGGCCAGCAGCGTAGTACTGCCCCGACGGACAGGTGTAGGAGTACCCTAGAAGCAGGTCAGAACATCTATTGACTCAGCAAACACACGGATAACGCACAGTAGTTGCTTGACGAGTACCAGCCTATAAGGTCCGAGTAGTCCTGGCGCCTCTGCAAGTCCTCGGGCTTGGGTGCTGGGGTGATCTCGGGGCGTAGGTTGTTGGCGCAAACAGAGCTGACGCTCGCGATCACGATGGCGACAAGGACGAGGAGCTTCATCTTGCCGTCTTTTCAGCGTGAGAAGAAGTTAACATCGTATCAGGCGGACTTTGCTGGTTGTGGTCCTGTTAAATAATAACTCAGCTAGTGAGCCGGTGCCAGGCAGCTAATCAATGACCCTTCTCCCCCGTCGATCGGCGCCACAATACGATACAAAGCTAATTCTATATTAAGCAACAAGATCGGCTGGATATTGCGAGGACCCATGCTATCAAGTATGAGTAAATGACGTTCGGTCATATCGTTTTATCAATATCGAGTTTGTTGTACGGAGTACGGAGTAGTTGATATCAATTTGTTGCCCAACAAGGTTGTTGTTCCTTTCAAGGTCTACAACAGTAGCTGATTACAACACCGAGTGACCGCATACAATTTTATGCTGACAACATTTGCATAACAGTGTCGAACTCACCCATGCAGCTCTCTTTCTCATATTTACATTAATATTCATGCATGCAATCAATTTTTGTCTATTTTTCTTCCATTTTTTTGCCCTCACTTTTTCATCGTTGAAATAAGGTTCAGCTCGGCCCGAACCGGAACAACTTATCACCGAAAGAGCCGGATTACTAAGCAGTTATCGATAGCTTTTTTGACTCAAAAAGAAACGAAAAGACGAAGAAACGACGAAGAAACGAAGAAGATGAACGGGAGAAAACAGTCGACGGGACCGAGAAGACACAGGATAATGCAATGACGATCACCGTGGGGGTCCTCGCCTTGCAGGGCGCGTTTTATGAGCACATCCAGCAGCTGAAGGTTGCCGCGGAAAAGCTGAGGGGCAGCAGCAAGACGTTCACCAAGGAGCAATGGGAGTTCATCGAGGTCCGTACGCCGGCTGAGCTGGCGAGATGCGACGGGCTGATCATCCCGGGCGGCGAGAGCACTGCCATGGCTCTAGTGGCTGCTCGCTCCAACCTGCTGGAGCCACTGAGAGACTTTGTCAAGTAGGTTGATCCTCTTGCGCCGACGGTTGAATATATGCATGTATATTGACGGGTATGCAGACTCCATAGGAAGCCTACCTGGGGTACTTGCGCCGGATTGATACTGCTCGCTGAATCGGCAAACCGGACGAAGCGTGGAGGCCAAGAGCTCATCGGCGGATTGGACGTTCGAGTCAACAGGAACCACTTCGGAAGACAGACCGAGAGCTTTTATGCGCCGTTGGATCTCCCATTCTTGCCGGGTGATGCCGGACCATTCCGAGCGGTGTTTATCCGCGCTCCCGTGGTTGAGAAAGTTCTTTCGGCCAAGGATGGGATTCAAGACGAGGAGCTTGCGATAGACGGGACCGTGGTGGCGCCCTCGAGAAAGCCAGAGAGCGAAGTTGCCCGCGAAGCCATGGCCGATAAAGTCGAGATTCTAGGCAAGCTACCAGCCAAGGCTGATGGTAGCGATGGGCCCGGCGATATCGTGGCAGTAAAGCAAGGGAATGTTTTTGGTACCAGTTTCCACCCAGAGTTAACAGATGATGTCAGGATTCACATGTGGTGGCTCTGCCAGGTTAGTGAGGCAGCAACAAAGCTACAGAAAGCAGAAGTGGTTGTTCGATAGACAAAAATATATAGATTTTTTTTGTTGGTTTGTTTCATTTTGAACTTTTTTTGGTTGCTTACTTTGGGTATCTGATAAAAGACTTGCGTCCATGTCTTAGGTGTTGGATCACCCAACCTACCGCATTGTATATATCTCCACTCAACGATCATCAGCCATTGCACGCCCATAGCCGCCTCGGCCAGGGTCGAATTCGTCTCTAAACTCATCACGCACTTGTCCTCCCGATTTTCCGCGCCTAGTAAAGTGGTCAGCCCCGGTCTTCGACAGTCGCAGTAACCAGGCCATAACATACCCATACTGCCTCCCTTCTTGAAACCCAGGGTCTAGATCGGTTCGAATGATTCTCTCATCCAACTTTGTTCCTCCAATATATTTCATACAGTCCAAAGCGTCTTGGTGCGTGTAATACTCAACAAAACAGAATCCGCACGGTGTCTTCTGGAATCGATCTAGGCCCATCACTAGCCGCTTTATCTCTCCGCATCTGAAACAGTCAGAACACGATGCCATTAGCAGTTCAACTGGAGACGTACTTCGCGAATAGCTCGTGTATCTGCTCTTCTGTCGTGTAGAATGACCTATCCGAAGGCTGTCAGACCATATTCAATAGCTACCATTTGATCGCAAACGTACAGGTTTCCGACATATAGAGTCGTAGCCTCTTTCAGTGAGGCATCAAAGTCCGCCTGAGGTTTATCTTCCTCGCGCTCTCCGCGGTCGTGATACGACTTCCGGCGTTTGTTCTGTAGGTGTATGTTAGCGGTCGACTCTCTCTTGCAGCAGCCGGCCAAAGCACATACCTTGTTGCTGAAATACGTGCTAGGCTTGTCCAGCCTCTCTACCGTAGATCGGGGAGTAGCCATCTCTCCTTAACTCGCACACGTCTTTTGTTGATAGGGATAGCTGTAGATGTCCTTCTCTCCTGCTTTTCGCCGTCTGGGAGCTCGAAGGTTGAAGCGCGCTAGTTAAAAAGAGCTTCGAGGCTTGGCGCGCGGTTGTCAAAACTTCATGATTTTGACTTGCAAGAAGAAAAAAACATCGATCTATGCGACAGGGAAGCTTGCACAAGGAGGTGAAGGATGCCGAGTTAGATGTGATACGACTAAGTATGAGGCTTAGTGCGCTATAATACGCCCATCAAAACTCTCTACAGCGTTTTCTCGTTCATTCCATTTGACAGCGAGCACGCATCCTCAACCGATATCCAACGCCAACATGCCGCGAATCGTGGATTATTCTCCTCCGTGGCTCTCCAGGCCTTCTGCAGGTGTTGATCTCTTCTGTCCTGAAGCAAAGGATCAGTCGTCGTCGTCGCTTCGCAATGCGCAGAAAGCTATTCAAGAGCCTACTAAGGACCCACGACCAGTTCGAACACTTGCTCGAAGGGGTACCGAGGTCTTTACCGTCGTTGATAACCAGATCAGATGGGCAGACCTTGCGAGGTTGAAAGATGAATGGAGGAAAGGAGTGAAACAGAAGAGAGAAGAACCCAATGAAGAGACTAATGGGGACGACAAGAAGGAGAATAATGGTTCCTTAGAGCGGAATGTTGCCAGGGAAGAACCAGGGGAACAGGAAGATAAAGATGCCTCGAAGCCTTCATATTATCGGGTACGAATGTCATTTCACATTCACAGGACGGAACAATACTAATGTTTGCGTTTCATAGGTACTGAACACACCTGTATACGGAAAAATCGAGCAACTCGCCGTATCCCCAAATGGAGCTTTTCTGGCCATTACAACTACCCATACCGTTCATATCGCGATATTGCCAGACATTTCGCATCTTTCTGGACCAGATTACTCCCCCATTCGCGTCAAAACGTTCCAACTGGGGCCAACCACCCATGTTATCCCCGAATCACCGGTTGTGGCTGTCCTCTGGCACCCCCTAGGCATACACGATACCAATGGTGGTTGCATAGTTACTGTAACTGCTGATTCTGCTGTGCGGTTATGGGAGATAGATCGCAAGAACCACTGGTCCTTCGACAGGCCTGCCCTTGCAATTGATTTGAAGAAACTTGTTGACGGAACTTCCATGGACCAGGACTTTACCCCCTTGAGCTTTGGCCAGAATAAGGGTTTCTCGGCGGATTCTTTTGATATGGAAGTTGCCGCTGCTAGGTTTGGTGGCCATGGATATGAAGAAGAAGATGCATGGGCCTCTATGACGCTTTGGGTAGCCATGCGGACAGGCGATGTTTATGCCCTCTGTCCACTCTTGCCATCAAAGTGGCAGGCCTCCCCAGTCACTGTTCCATCTCTTACATCTTCTATCGTTCGCGAACTTGCTGTTGCGCAGGCTGAGGCTATGGAGTCTGATGACGAGCTCAAGGTAACCCAGCAACAATACGAATGGCTCAAGGAGATGGATAACCAGGATATATCGGCGGTCGAAGACGAAACGATGATTACGGAAATTCGAGCTCGCCCGACCAATCCAAGCCCTATACCGCGGCTCCAAGGCCCTTTCCTGCTTAACTGCGAGGAACTCGAGGAAGACATGGACATCACAGATATCCTTGTCATTGCTCCTCGGGCAGACATTGACGACCTGATGGCTGGAGAGGATGAGCCAGAGCTTCTCAGCGAAAACGCCCAGAGTGGGCTTTCTGGCACTGTCATATGTCTTTTGACCTCTATAGGAACGCTTCATGTGTGTCTTGAAATGGACGGAGTGAAAGGGCAGTGGCTTCCAAGAACTTGCAAAAATACATTTAGCACACCCATGTCCGAACCCTCTGACCTATTACTCCTGGAATCACTGGAAACTGTCCGAGCCAAGGACAGGCAGTCTAACATGTGGCCTATGTTTTCGGAAGCCTTTGGATCTCGATATGACTTCTTCGTGACCACTGCTAGGACTGTCAGCCTTTTTTCCTTGTCATCTTGGGTTCATCGTGTGGAGCCCGAACTAAGATCCGAAGATACCGCTGGCTCAGCATTCCGTATAAATATTATCTGTGACGGCGAGATCGCGGAACGAGAACAGATGCTGCAATTACCTCCCACAGATCTGGCCCCCGATAGTAGCGAGGAGCATCTGGCTGCCTGCCTGCCCATATTCGACTACGACTTGGGATACCTATTGTTGTCTTTCTCACCTTCCAAGCCGTGTGCTGTCTTGCTTGACTCCCCTGAGTATGAAGACTTCAGGGCATCCATGGCCCCTTCAGACTCCGAGGAAGCACCAGAGAGCCATGTACCCGTACCAGCTCATACACGCCCGCCATACCAGGTCCCATCTGTCTTATACTTACAGTCTCCCCTCGTTTCTTTTGTTGCAGACCATGTTCCCCACGGGCATAAACATACCCTTAAGGAGCCTGTTCGTCTATCACCATCAACTTTGGAACTTTTCACATCCGCTCACAGGATCTTGAGCGCATATACCCATGCACTAGAAGTTGCAGCCTCTGATCTTTTCCGCCGCTGTGAACGGTTACAGGGTGAGATGCGCGGGCAACTTACGCAGCTCGTTGAGATCGGTGAAAGAATACAGGATGTCTCAAACGGCACAGTTAGGGGAACTGTGAAGAGACCTCCCGTGGATCGTGAACAGGCACTTAGTTCAAGGCTGAGTGCGGCCCAATCGAGACAAGCGGAGCTTACGGAACGATACAATAACATCCGACTTAGAATCATCAAGGCTGGAGGACGACCAATAAGCGACAAGGAAAAAGCATGGATGAAGGAAGTTGATACACTATCTACTTCGATCAGTGAAGAGGATGGAAAGGCCAAGGGTGAATTAACAGAACGGCTTGAAACGGTATGCTATTTTCGTTACTATATATACAAATGTCGTGGAATTTGTACTAACGCAGCATTGAAGGCAACCACGATAGCTAAGGAACTACTGTCTGAGATGAAGAATATCCCTGATGTCGTCGACTCGACCCCTTCAACGACCAACACTACACATCCCAAGGTGCCACAGAGACTACAGAAGGCCAAAGTCGCAGATGCCATGAGTATGGTTGAACGAGAGTATGTCCACTATTCTTATTATTAACATTTAGCTTTAACCATGGCTCGGCGCGAACCGATAACCACTAACCACTGCTGCATAGGTCTGCTGTCATCGACGCTATCACATCCAGACTCGAACGACTCTCATCCAATTTTCATGACCTTTAGCGATATGCTTAGACTAATTCCTCATCCACTGTTACCATTTGAATAAATACCCTTACTACTTGTTATAATTATGGTTACTAGGGAATGAGACTTGGAAATATTCAATACCATTGTAGTAACATATGCTCCCCTAGTTGCGTGCTGGCAGGACGATGCTGCCGAGCTACTACAAAGTAACAAAGCTCAAGGTGACCTGCAAAAGGTACATATCGAGCCCACCAAAGAGAGATGATAACCGCCCTAGACATAATACGAAAGATGACCGCGTTCAGAAATTAGCCAGACTGGCCTTTGTCCCAACCGTGCCGCAAATATTTTGACTGTGGTGGAAAAGCAAAGACGGCACCAGGATCCAAGTGTGCTGCCATTAAACCCAACGGTCCCATTCTTTATCGAGATCCAAACGCTCTTCGATAATCTCTCTGAGCTCCCTAACAATTGAGGCCCAGCTAGGCAGGACAAGACTGTCAATCTGCTCCTCCCAGGTTCGCATCTCATCTCTGTATCCAGTCCACCAATTGTTGAACCTGGCACGGGCAAAAGCACTCATGGGAGTGTTATCAGCGAAGTTCCGCAGGAAGATATCGGATTTAATCCAAGCAAGATACACCCCATTCAGGTATTTCTGTCGACAAGACCTGTAGCGATGTGCGTACTTCAGATACGCGTCCTCTTCAACGTAGAATTTCACGGCGCAAGTAGGTATTTTGGGCGGATCGGCAGTGTATCCGCTCTTCGGGCCCCAGCTGAACAGCATATCGATGGATTTGGCATGGTTCGAGGTACGCACGCGGGGCTCGTTGGGGCAGAGGCGGTAGAAGCGTTGGTTGAAGCCGTGTTGGAGGAATAGGAAGCCCCTGTAGGCCTCGTCTGCTCTGCGGCGAGCGATGTTGGTGGCGTGCACGACATCCGAGGGAATAGCTGCGAGGATACGCCGGGGAAGAAACACATTGACACTGTCGGGTGAGTCGTGTCGGTTGCGTGAGCTTTCTTGCTGGTACTGGTGTTGATAGGGGATCATTGGGCCCGGCGTTGGCCTGGCGGAGGGGATGGACAGCAGTCTTGGATCTAACGTCATGTTGGACGCAGATTTAGGTGATAGACAAGTAAGAAGAAGACACAGGTGGTTTTGTTTGTTTAAGTAAAAGAATGAATGCTGAAGGAAGTAGAAGATATCATGTAGCTTGTCATGATGATGTGAGGTGGCTGGCAGAAGTAGGTGTTTTGGTGGTGCTGACTTTGTGCGCGGAGGGTGAGAAAGGGGGCTACAGGCAGAGCCAGCACAGCGACACTGGAAAGGTCAGGAGAGCAGCCTTTACTTTTGCATGGCAGGGTAAAATGGTATGAAGGTATAAATGAAGGGAGTTTCCGCATTTTTTAGGGTCTCAGGCTGAGGCTACGGGGGATACTAGACTCCGGCTAGGAAAACGGCTGGATGAGAAAAGGCGATGCCAGGGCATATTCATGGCCTATAGAGGGAGATGGGTCTTGCAAAGAAAACATGGGAGTATAGAGGCTGCTCATGTTGGTGGTAATGGTGTACAAGTATATACAGAGATATAAATGTACACAAAGGACAGGTCAGAACCGAGTACAATAACTTCACAGCCATGGTATAGAAAAGAAGAAACAAGTAGAATGACTGAGGGACTGTTGCCAAGGTATCAGTGGTTGACTCCTGGTGGAAGTCCAGAAAAAAGGAGAGGATATAAAGGGGCAGTTATGCCAAAGTAATTTTATTGTTATGTCGAAGCAAAGAGTGAGCTCTTTACATCGTACATGGAACGATGGGCATATTTACCGACATGAACCGTAACTTTTCATCACAGAGTTAGGGGATGCGCCGGAAGTAATAAGCACAGCATCACTGATTATCGCCATATAGATAATCAGGCGCAGAGTGAAGGTCGAGTGGTATTGGGGAAGATATTGTGACGGAACGAGTTCATGCAGCTTTAACAATCATAATACATCAAAGAACGAAGCATATAACGAGAAGAGCGCAGTTCATTGGACACTAGATGACGAACGTTAGAAATGGCGCGACATGTATGTAGCAACGGGTAACTAACCGCTCAATCAAATGAACACCCGAGGCCGTCTCCACAATATCACTGACTTCGCCGACTTTTAGTGCAAAAGCAGCCTGCTCAAACTCGGCCTGCATCTCTCCTCGGCCAAAGAATCCGCTGTATTACTTGTCAGTAACCCATGCCCGTGTTGCCTGCGATTGGCATCAAAAAGACTCACAGATCACCCCTTTTCCTGGCACTGCTGCAGTCAGACTCCGAGGTCGCAATATCACCCAGTGATGCTTCGCCGGCCTCAATACGCTGCTTGTGCCCGCGTAGGATCTCAATGGCATCGTCCTTCGATCGCGTGATCTCCGACTCTCTCCAGCTGCTTGGCCGTCTGCTCTCACGGTGCTTGATGAGCAGATGGCTCGCCCTGATCTTGCCTTCGCCCTGGCCACTGGCTCCATGGCGATCGCCTGCTTGTACGCTGTGGTGGGCAGCCATGTAGACCTTCAACTTCTCGGTATCCGTGCCCGCAGGCGGCTCCCATCGTGACTCCTTGGAGATCGCGTTGAAGTAGTATGGCAGGTTCTTGGAGTTCGAGTGCCGTACCTCCCAGCCGGAAGGGAGTCCTGTGTCAGCCTACATCGCAGTTAGCCTCTCGTCTCCCTCCAGCCACTGGAAAAGCAACTCACCATGCTGTCTATCCGTCTATGCCCGTCTTGTATCTCGATGTTTTCTTGTTGTTTTCTTTTCGACTTTTTCGACTTTGCGGCGAAGATAAATGCGGGGGGCTGCTGAGTCAGCACTGCCTCTACTTTTCTTTCAACGTCAATCGAAATAGATCGAAAATCGCAGCATTTTCATATGAACAGAGAAGATGGTAACGATAAGCCGTGATGGCGGAGAGGCGGGTGCCGGAGACGACGGTGAGATGGGAGATGCTGTGCGGCCGGCCAAGTCGGCACAACGCGCGATGTTCGAGAGAGGCTTTCGCGCGTGGTCGGGCCTAGTTGATACTGCAAGAAAGGCGACAGGTCTGCCTGATAGCTGCTTCGACTTGAAGATGATTGCAGATGTACCGTCTCTATCACCGGATTTGGATCTAAAAGCAGAGGACGACTGGTTGCTTGCGACTGGGACTTCAACCTGGGCAACAGACAGCTCTGATGACTTTGTATTGAAAAACAAATCGATATTGTCATCTCTAGGCGCTGGCCTACTAACATCACGTTGACTGACAGGGACTTGGACTATTGCTCCTGGTTTGGCCGTGCGGATAATCACATTGCAGTCCTTGTTCTCGCGTGGGCCTACATTCTCTCGGCTCGCTGGACTGAGTTGGTATCCGGTGCCGTTCTCGAATACAACAATAACAGTCAGATTGTCGACGACGATCATGTTATTTCAGTGAATACAGGAAAAGTAGGCGACGATGCAGCAAGATGGTGGGCTGCTGTCCTATCCCAAGGTGGCTGGGAAGCTTATATTCCTTCAGATGAGACTACATTCAGATCCCCATGGTCAATCGCTCTGAAATCTCCCGTCCGATTTAGGTTGTCTCACCAAGGAGAGACTCTGGTACAGCCTAAGGCTATATCGTCTGTTGATGCCCTCAGATACATCAAGGAGTACTGTAACTTTTATGGGGTTACCGACCAATGCTATGCAGCGTTATCGGTTGCTCTCCTCCTTCCAAGTCTTAGCTCAAGGGGCCGTAATGTTCCCTTGCCAATACCAAAACTCAATCATGAGGCTTGTGTAATAAAGGGACGGGCCAGCCATGAGCAGCTGTATGAGTTCAAATGTCTGGATAAGTTTTTGGTTCTGAGCTGCAATACTAAAGGAATATGTGGTCTCCTGTCGAGTATCTTCTATGACCCTAAAGTGGCCTGCAATTTCGCAAGCCCATGGGTTCAGGCGATCGTTGCTGCCATCAAACATGTTGGCGATACCCAAATTATTCATGTCATGGCAGCAAGATCGCCACATCTCGCCTTTCTATGGCTAGGCGCGATTGTAACAGGGTTCCACAACGATGTAGTCAAGGATGGACGATTTGGTTTAATACCAATTGAGCCGCACTCAGCCATGTGGACCGGAACTATCCAGTCATTTATGCAAGAGCCTTTATCTCAACCCCTAGTTACGGACGGTTATATTTCACGTGCTAATGAGTGCCGTTTGCTATACATCATACAGGATGAGTTCCACGAGAGGTGGCCAGTAAGTCCATGGCATCCCTTTGGCCAAACTGCACTTGAAGACACTGAACTTAGTGTTCGCTCAAATGTCGAAAAGGTTATCGGTGGACTGGTATATGCGAAATGGAGATGGGCTTCTAAAGGAGGAAGCCCTACTCACCAAGCACCTCGTGGCAGCCTTGTGCCAGTTTTCTGGGAACTAGCAGAGGCGTCTGACATGCCTGTCAGCTACGAGGAATTCAGTGACGAAAATGTGGTATCAGAGAATGCAACACGGATGATCTTCGACTGGCTACGTTTTGAAGGATACCCAGCCTGTGAGAGGCCGATATATACTCACAAATGGTTTCGACGTCGATAATTCGGATGAAGATGACCACTTTCAAGCTATCCAAAAAGCAGAGAGGCTTAGACGTAGAGACCTAGGGCAGCAAATATGACTCACCTTCGCCTCAGTAACTATTATCATAATCATTTTATCATATTTAATCACTCTTCACTCAACAAGCCCTTAAAACTATTCCATGCTGCCAACCTTCACTTTACGACGCTCACGACCATATTGCTTAGTCATCAATTAGCCAGCAGTTAAATACGCGAAGTCGCAAGCTTCAACTTTCTCTCGAGCATGCAACATTCTTAATATTGTTTAACATCATACATCAACTCGAATACGAATATCGCATATTATCATAAACACCCAGCGATGTCTGCGTCCCCAGCTCCCCAGAATGGCTCCGGCCAGCAACAGCAGCAAGGAACCGATCAGATTCATTTCAAATTCTGTCGCGAATGGTATGCACAGCTCACTCTAAACCCAAGCCACTCAAAATGAGAATGAAGACAGGCTAACTTATGCGCTTTTGTAGCTCCAACTTGTTATACCCGAAAGAAGACCGTGCGACGAACTCCCTAGTGTTTGCATGCCGAACCTGCCACGTCGCTGAGCCAGCAACATCATATTGCGTTTTCCAGAACAAACTTCATAGCCAGGTCGGCGACACTGCAGGAGTAACACAGGACATCGGAAATGATCCAACTGTTGGTCTACCATTATGTCTCCTTTGTGGGGACCTGATAAACTGCGACTCTTGCGGGGATTTTGCAGAATACATGGCCTGGAACAGACCTTCTCAGCAGAAGCAGAGCTAGTAGCCGTTGAACGGTGTTGAAGAACTCATTTGGCTAACAAGGACTAAACTTCTAGCTTCCTCGATCAAATAAATTGTGTCCTAACTGCGGCGAGAACGAGGCGGTGTTTTTCCAGTCACAGCAACGGTCTGCTGAGACAGGAATGGTGAGATACATGAAGTTATTACTGCTGGCTTCTGGAATACTCTTTTCTGACTCTCGGGACTCTCTCAGAAACTTTACTATGTGTGCTGCACTTGCGGAAAGGTGTTCGTTTGAGGCTTCTACGACATTTCCTTGCTGTTAATTTTCCAGTCTACGAGACCTTCGGTATTTTCCTTACAACATTCACGAGCTTGATACCGAACGACTCGGGCACGTCCTACCTATTATTCACTTCCATTTTGTTTTTTATGGCCAGGAGTTACGGACATTTGCATTTCGCCGCAGGAACGGACGGGGGCGTATGGGTGAAATTGTCTCTAGAAGAGTAAAAGAATTTAACGATATACACGACGCCATCATTTAAAAGAGATCTTGTATAATACAGGCAACAAATAATATTACAAATGCATCGGCGCTAATGACAATATCTTTGACCATTTCTTATTTCGTAGTTCCGCTCCAACAATGCCTATTCACCAAACGTTAGTCACGTCACAGCTAGTCTTCAATATCAGGTACCAGTCTCCAAACTCACCGTTTAATCTTGATCCAATTGGGTCTCCGGACTTGTTTATCAGGACACAGGCATTATCGTCGAACTTGACATAGCTTCCATCGGGCCGTCGGACCTCCTTCTTCGTTCTAACAATCACGGCATGGCGAACATCTCCTCGCTTGACCTTGTTGGCAATAGATGTGCTTGCGTTGCCATCTGAGCCGAAATTCCGTTGTTTCTGGACGACAACAACAATCCGATCACCTGCAATCGTGTCAAATAAGCAAATAAGCAACCGTGTATGTATATATCAAGGGGCCAGACGAACCTATTGTCCCTGTCTTTGACTTCTTCAGGACTTGGGCGCATTCGACGACTGCGGCGCCGGAATTGTCAATGCAGTTGAGGAGGGTCTATTAACAAAGTTAGCACAAGATTCTGCATGTAGCAAACACATAAGTAGCATACCTTTAGTTGTATCATCTTTGCTTCATTGCGCAATGTCTTGTCCTTCTGTTTCGCTTCTTCTTCATCGTCTTCTTTCTTTTACGGCTTCCATCAATCTTTTTGATTACCTAATCATTTATCCGGATTTACCATATGCCGGATGCCGATACTCCGGCTCCATCTTCACCCCGGTGGTAAAGTGCCAGAAATACAGCGATTTTATATATGCAATCAGTAGAGAGAAGCTAGAGTTCCTATTTTCTATTTACAGTGCATGCGACAGAGAAACATTAGTGTTGAAAATAGCATGTTGGAAGTAAAAATGTGCTCCCGGCTAAATGAAGTATACAACCACGTGACTGTCGCACTTGGCCCCCTTTGCGACTCGTGAAGAAGTTCCAAAACGGCGCGAAGAAGGCTGGCGTTTACATCGCGTGCGCAGTCCTCCTGGAACGTCGACGGCGGAGGATCTGTGCTTCCAGAGAAGACAGTGCTGGTCTTGTGGGAGTCTTCTGGGTCAATGCTACTGAAACGCGACCGTTTAGAGGTTGTGTTCGCCCCAAGACTTGAATCCCCGAGAGCAAGCTCCCCGTCGATGACCTTATTTCATGACCCTATTATTACGGTGTTCTAGCTCATTATTGTTATTTTGTGATGATATATGACCTGTAACGATGCCACGCACACCTGCCGTCGAGAAGAGGGAGAGATTGACGCTCTCTCAGCTCGCAACATATGATGATATCTTGACAGATACCCTTGTGGACCATGTAAGCCCTGCGCTGATACTATGGAGACGAGACATACGGGATGGTCGATACCTATTCTAACAGCTATATGGTACAGGCTTTCTTTTGGACCACCATTCGCAAAAACAGGACCAAATACTTCCCTGTCAGGGGCATCAACGAGGACACTATTACGTCTATTCTCCTTCACGATGTAATCGTCGCCAAAGACGTGCCGAAGGCAGAGAAGCAGCTTCTAGCGCTTCCTGGACTTAAGAAATTCACCGATAGGCTTCATTCTGACCGGGAAAGGGAATGGTTTCGTCGACATCTTCGCAAATACATATCAATATATCTCCCTGATTGCCCATTTGAGGTTACAACTACAAATAGATATACGGTTTTGACCCATGAGGCGGCTGTCTCTGCTAGGAAATTCATACCGTCCGGTCATCCGGTGAAATATCTCAGCGGGACACTAGTTTCAATTACCAAGGAGGAAGAAAATGACCTTGACCTTACCAAACGGGATTTCAGCATTGTTATGTCGACCAGGAAAAAGACAGCGTCCCTGTTTTTGGGGCCTGCAAGATTTGCGAACCACGACTGTAATGCCAATGCGAAACTAGTCACGAGGGGTTTCGAGAGCATGGAAGTGGTCGCCACCCAGGATATTGACATTGGAGATGAAATAACAGTCTCATATGGCGACAACTACTTTGGTGAGGATAACTGCGAATGCCTTTGCCATAGCTGCGAAATAGCACAGCGTAACGGCTGGTCGTCCCCAACCGCCTCACGTGTCAACAGCTGGGTGCACAGCTCATCTGAATTTGCTGATGCGTCAGAGAACCCACCCAGCTCTTCGAATGGATGCGAAAAGCACGAGCTGGAAACGGATTCCGAATCCTCCGATGGTTTTCTAGGAAAGAGAAGGAAAGTTGAGCGGAAATCTTCGAATTTGCGGCTTCAGGAATCTGTAGATGATACAGTGGGTGTCGATGCAAAGCCAAACCAGGGATCACCTTCACCAGTGACGAATACGTGCTCGCCACTCGCCGGAAACGCGGAAGAATCCAACGATTCCACTCTGCCCGGAGGTAATAGCACGAAGAATAAATGCAGTACAGCCGATATTCCACTTTGCGATGAAGAAGTATCAACGGCTTGTCGGGCGTCAAGAGATACTTCTATCGAAAATAGTAGTGGTCAATCGTCTGGATCGACTGCCGCAACATCTTGTCCTGGATCTGGCGACCAGGCGCCACTTGCACCGGAGACCGAGGATTCAACTACAAATGAACCAGGAAAGACTGAAAAGATACCCGAACTACAACTTAAACCTCCATTTCCTCAAATAATTCTTGGAGATTCCGAAACAGATCTATCGGATCTATCCACGGTATCCGAACCAGTTGAATCAGAAGCTACAAATGATGCCCCTAGACCTAAACGGAAATACAAAAAACGCGGCCTTCCATTACCGGTCGTTGAGGAACCTCCAATATTTAAGGTTCGTGTCCCCGGGGACTATACCAAGACTAGTGTTTTATTGGTACAGCGTTGTGATCGATGGGTTGAATGCCAAACGTGCAGTGACTGGTTTGTTCAAGGAGAAGCTTATTTTACAAGAAAAGAATGTCCACGTTGTGAACGGCATTCTAAATTATATGGATATCGATGGCCCAAAACTGATAAGGAGGGTAGGCGTGACAAAGAAGAACGGGTAATGGACCACCGTACCATTCATCGTTTCTTAACAAATGACGATGAATCGCGGCTTGATCGACGGGGTCGGGGACTTGGTGTGAGTACTACAAGTCCTACACCAGATGTTTCTGAAACAAGGACGGAGACCGATGCAAGCGAGATTGGGGAAGGAAGACGTGTTACTCGCTCATGTCGACGGGCGTCCAGAAGGTTAGAGGAGAGCTGTGTTTAAGTCGGGATTCTGTATGGTTTTGTTTGGGGATATTGCTGTTTGACTGCCCTCCATCGCAATATCAAACAAATCAATAGAGAAGGAATGTTTCGCCATTCCAGGGATTATACGCATGGAAGGTGTTTTCATCCGTCTGATGGATTTGCAAGTGTGGATGACGAGCTCGGAAAGTGTCTATCTTTCTCTTGTGTTTATATGCCTTGAGATATTCAACCATGTCGTCCTCTATGGTATATGGCCAGTATGGACCTTCGGGATACCTCATTACGACGGGCACAATGCTTCTGTTCTCTTTCTTGGCCTTCTTGAGCGCTAGCTCTCGTCGAAAACGAAGTCGTCGCGATGCAATATGATCCCTACTGGACCACAGTTCTGGAGGCGAGTGGGCAAGCCGATGAGCTGTTCGTGTTTCAGTTTCCTTGACCGAGTGCATAGAGTCACGAAGGTTGCTCCACCAGTTGAGGAATCCCATGACTCTGAATCGTGATTATACGAGCTGTGAATTGAGTTATTGAGTGAGGATACCCGAAATTGTTTTACAGGTATGTCTATTAGATTTACTTTCTATCTTTTATATTGCTACTACAACTTGTTTGCTTTGTATGTTTGCTACTGCGGTTTCTTGTTTGTATCTTCGCAGCCGTACACCCTTGTCATTCACAGCTTCACTTTCAGTATCAGCTTGAATCATACTAATGCGGAGAGATGCAGGTTACTTACGGGATATCGTTAACTTTTAGCCCGCGGTTCTCAATTTCCTCAATTGCTGTTATAGGCTGTCCATCAAACCCAACGGCCTGCCAGTTCCCGTCTTGCATGACCGTCCGAACAATCCTACTAAAATGATCTTTCTGATCTTTCCCACCACCCAGCTATATCAAGATCCTCTAATCGACGTGCGCTGACACTCATGCATGTCAAGCTGGGTTTCAGAATCGGGCGTATAATGGTAACCCGATTCGTTGGGACTGTTCACTTGGTCAAAACCGTCTATGGGCATTGGATCTCCGGCATCTTTGCAAGGCATCAGTTGAAGCTTGTGTAATGACCAAAAGATATCCCAATGTCAATGGTTACTCACCATATACCCTTTCCGTCGGCGGTTGCAACGGCGAAGCCCGCTTTTCCTTTCTAGACTGTGATTCCTTCTCCTTTGACAACCGCATCTTCGCATTGTCGATCTCGATCTTCAAGTACTCCACAAAAACTAGAATCAGCATATCTAATGTTCTGTCTGTATTGCCGGCTGATCGCTGTCGTCGCCCGCTTTTCCGAATCCGATGACGTTTCTTGTGTCTTCGTGAATATCCTCTCCCCGAGGAGGAATCCGACGTGCTAGAAGTATCCGACACCATCATTGAGTATTGAGCTTGTTGAATAATAGGATGCACAGGTAGATATTGGCGACAGACCTGCAGCGCTTTATTTCTTGTGAGATCTTGGGTATTTTCTTCCTTTTAACCTACATAGATTTTGGCTGCGGGAAGGATACATTTCCTTGCTTGCTAGAAGAGGGAGTTGTTTGTGTGTGTATAGTGTGGGATAGAAGCTGTAAGCTATGTATATTAGATCATAATAATGTAGAGAGAAGACATTTGTTAGTACAGGACCCCTCACACGATGTTTGACTAATAGTGAGTGATCTCGGTTAATTGGTATTTGGCCAAATGCTTTCTCAATAGCAAATGCTCACAATTCTATTATTTGTGTAGTTCTGAAATTTATAACTCTGAAAGTCATTAAATTTATCGTATTTCTATAACGATTTCCAACCTACACTCGTTGCTTCCGATCAGTTACCCACTATCATACAATTTTTAACCGGCGCCAGGAATTCAATGCTATGTAGATGGTATATAATACAGGACGGTATATAAGGAGACAAATGCATATATGGGGGGAGAGAGATGGTGGAAATGAGGAGATGAGTGTTAGATCAATGCTTGTCCCCTGAACATTGCTTCACGGACACCCTTGACGACGTCCTTTCGGTCTTTCTTGTTGACAAGAACGATGCCTCGTCCTCTTCTGCCCATGCGACCCAAACGACCCAGACGATGAATAAAGTCGATAGTCGAGTGAGGAACATCGTACAAGATGACGTTTCGAACAGCTACAGTATCAATTCCTCTGGATCCCAGGTCAGTAATGACAAGGACTTTAGTGTTGTCTAGTGACTTTGTTGAGCTGGGCTTTTTAGGCTCGTCATTTTGCAGGAAGGGTATTGAGCCTGAGTCAAGTTGCTTGCTCTTCATAAGCAATTTCTTGTCCTCTTCGGAGAGTTGTGGCTTTGCCTGAGTGAACTCGTTGAGGATCTCAGCTTGTCGTTTTTCTGAGGTGTCACGGGTCAGGGCAACAGCGTCAATTCCTTTTGAAGCCAGGAAACCAGCTACCTCTTCAGCTGATTCGCGCTCATTGACGAATACGATGATATGTTTTGTCTCTGGCGTGCCGGTAATACGGGCAAAGGCATCCCCATCATCACCGCTTCCAGCCTTACCCAGGGACCATATGACGTCAGCGCATGCAAGGGACTTTTTGCCATGGTAGGGCTCTTTGTCGACATCTACAACACCGAGTTGGACTCTTCGAGGAATAGCGTGGAGATTCGGAGTGACGAGTCTTCGAATATTAGGGTATAGTTCACGAAGACGATTATCCAAGTGTCGAGGAATTGTAGCAGAGCAGAGAATGAGCTGTTTTAGCGTTGATGCTGCTCGTTCGATTATAGAGTTTGTGATTGGTGAGAAAGACCGGTCAAAGAGGGAATCTGCCTCGTCCGCAACGAGGTGAGTTACACGACTCAGGATGTATGGATTAGACTCTGCAATTGAGCTAACCAGGTGCGGCGTACTGACGAGCACGTCTAAACCGGCGGGGTTGAACAAACTATTTCGAATCCTACGCGGGGTCTGCGAGGAGCTGATAAGAGCAGAACGGAATTTGATCGTGTGTGAGAGCTGCTTGACTAAGTGCCCTACTTGGTTCACCAGTTCGGATGTAGGGACCAGAATAATAACTCGGGGCTTTGCAACATCCTGGTATGTATCTGGTGTTGTAAGCTCAGGGGACTCCAACTCAAATATGTTGTTCTTTTCTCGTCGCTCTTTTTCCTCCTGCTCCTTCCTCGCCTTTTCATCAGACTCGATCTTGTCCTGTTCCTTCTGAAAGGCCTCAGCATTCTTGAGAGCATCAAGTACGGGAACAAGATAGGCCAAAGTCTTGCCTGAGCCGGTTTCCGCCGCGAGCAGGAACTGGTCATACTTGGGCGCAAGGTCGTCTGTTTGGGCAGCGGGGTCGGGAGTCTTGTTATTGTTGCCCAACAGTGTCGGTATGGCAACACGCTGAATGGGCGTGGGAGTGATATCCTCCATCCCCACCAGCGCATTCTTATACACTGCCTCGCGCACAACGTCGAGAAGCGGGAATTGGTCGAATGAAGTTATGTCGGCAATCTTCTCCTTGATCGCCATACGTCGATTGTACGGCACAGGAGTTAGGGCAATCTGCATCTTCAGAGGCTTCATCCACGATTCTTCGCTCTTTTCCTTATCCTGTCCTTGCTCTCTGAACTTCGGTTTGGCTGCTCGCCTGAGCTCGGCGTCCGATCTGGGGCGGGTGTTATCCCGGAGACGAACGCTGGTCCGGTTCATGGCTCCAAACGGGCTGTTCTCAAACCGGCCAGACTTCTTAGATTTCTCATCTGGTAGCACGGACTTTGCTACATTCGGCGACAGCCTCATTCGTGAGGGCTTCCGTCGAGCATGGGCTGTCGAAGCTGCCCGAGAGAGCTGTCTCCATGGCTGTAATGCCTCGCTGACGGGCAGGAGACTCGCGCGAGTAATCTGACAGTACAAACACATGTTCCTAGGCCTCAAAGGGGCCCTTGCCGACAGCATCTCTGATATCCCAGCTGCCGCTTCAACGACTTCGCTAAGGTTGACGTCGTCGTCGTCGTCGTCGTCGTCGATTGCCTTTCGCTTTCTTCCAAATATTTTTTATTTTGAGTTTGCCCGCCCGGGCCTCCATGCCCCGATAGGCTCCGGCTAAATATTTGGCCGTTCCGGATGACTCACCCATTACTCAGCTGTTGAATAACCTTCTTACTAAGCCGTTGTCATGGCAACAAATAGGCTTTTGCGTTTTATTTGTCAACACCTTATATCAACTCCTCAACTCCAACTTCAACCCCATCATCCAGACATCAAAACCATCACCTTCTTCTTCCCCTCTTCTTCTTCTCCTTTCCTCCAGACACAGTCTCTTCTTCGTCCTGCAGAGATACCCTGCTCTTGCAGTCCTCTTTCTGTTCCCTCATTCGTTAGCGCTTTGCGCGCTGCGCAACTTGCCTCGTTTTTGTTATTTGTTGTCGTTCGCGACTCGATTCTACTCTTCCCAATCCTTTGTGGAAGCCATTTTGATTCCCCATTGTCCGGTGATAAATTCTTTGATATTGCAGTCGCAGCAGATCATATCAACGAACATTACATTTACTAGCTCGCGGCGAGCCTTTGTTTCGTCTACTTGTTTGAGGTATGAATGTCATATTGATTTTCCCCGGAGACGCGGGATCGGCCATCTTGATATCATGTTTATACTGACCTGTTTCATACACAGATTTCAATATCTACTGTTGAAAAATGGGTTCGAGTCAGCGCCCACTCTCTGAACTTAGCCCAGTGGCTCAGAGGCGCAACTCTCCCAGCTGGAAGGTACGCTAAAACAGCTTTTCGTTTTTCTTCTGGCCTATATCAATTGAAACATCTGACATGTCCGACAGGATCCAGC